GCCCCCTTCATTTATATAAAATCCCACATTACTTCACCATAAACAAAAAAAAAAAAAAAAAAAAAAAAAAAAAACCAAATACAGCTTCTCGCCATCGCTCGTGCTCCCAAGACAGCCCGGTGACAGCCACCTAGACGCTGAAACTACCGTCCGATCGCGGGCGCGCTGCCTGATCTCACTTTAGCCCAGGCCGTCTGTCACTCACTCATCTTCCTCATGCTGACCTCGGCAACCTCGCCGCCGTCTCTCTTAGCAGAACGACTACCATCTCAAATTCTCCGATCCGCGAGCCTCAAAAAATTCCAGAAATCCTTACTCAAATAATTCCGCGCGCATTCCAGAAGATATCCCCCAATCGGACTTGTCTACTCGGTATTGCTCATAATACTGTCATATCACTTAGTCTGCCCTGCTACGTCGGAGCATCGGAACTCTCATGCGGCATCATGCCGACCCTGCGTCGCTGTCGATCACACACACGCGCATCATATGCAAACGACTTGCGTCAAAAAAGGCTAATTCCCCTATTCTAATCCGTGATATCGCAATGCTATGCTTCGGACCACCATGCGACCCTTCGCCCGTGTCAAAGTCCGGGAAACTGCAAGATAACTGAGTGGCAGGGTACGATGCAATAAATCTGTAAAAACTTTCCCGCTCTTTGATGCTGCATAAACGCCTCCCGATCTAGAAACCATGAAAAAACGGGCATCCGGCTGCCGAATCTGAACGCCGCAACCCATCGATGGACCTCCAACCTGCAGATAATTCAACTCGCCAATGATGATGCTGCTCCTGTGCTCGGAATCAGACCTGTGGTGGTTCGGACTTAATCCCTCGACCGCCATTGCCATCATCCGTTCCGGAGTCCGAGTCCGAGTCGAAATCTGATTCTGCTTCGCTGCTGCTGCTGCTATCGTCGATGACCTGCACGTCGCCGCTCATCTGTCGCAGCAGCTCTTGCGCCGTCATGCCAGCGCTCTGTTGCTTAGACGGTGAGCTGGCATTGGGAGGACCCTTCGGCCCTCCAGCCAAGATCTTCTTTGTAGACGGGCTCGGCACGTGGACCTGAACGCGATAATTGCCCTGGGTGTATGACGATGACGGGCGGGAGGACTCCGCCTGCGATGGTTGCGGCGGTTGCGACATGCTCATTGTCGGGTCTTCCATCGCCGCGGTCGCGTTCGAACCGGTTAGTCCGCCTCCGATGTCAGCAACGGCCACTTGCTTAATCGGCGTACGTTGCGGTTGCGGAGTCTGCTCCTCGATCGAAGTGACGGCAGCGTCCCCGGCACCGTTCACGCGGGCGCGCTTGTCCGCGTGCTTGTCGGCACCATTCGTTTGCGAGGCACCAGGTGTTCCCAATCGAGGGCCCGTTCCGTATCCCATCTGATCACGCTCGGCAACCATCTCGGCCCGGCCACGGCGCTCGCGGAGCCTGATACCGTACTTCTTGCGGACGGTGCTCTGTTTGCACGCGTATGAGTTGCGGAAGCTCTGCATCTTCTTTTCCAACTCGGCCTCGCTGAGTCCAAGTCCCTTGGCGGTCGCGATCTTGCTCTTGAAGTCTTCTTCGGCGCGCAGCAGGTCTCCGAGAAGGCACTGCACTTGACTTGCTGTGAGATGCGCCATGTCCTTTGCCTGAGGGGTACCGAGGGGAGGCTTTTGGATGCCAGCGATTTGAATGCTCGCGGGTGTGCTTTGCGATGAGGGAACGGACTGCGACTGGGGCGTCTGCATCACATAGGCCGGCGTCTGAGAGGGAGCTGGACTGCTGCTGGCGGTATATTGAGTAGGAGTGCTATCCGGCGCAGGGCGCTTGGTAGAGGGGTTGAATCCATATGAAGCATTCGCTGGCGGCCCTGGCATCGACCTGATGTTCTGGCAGTCCTCCTTGGTGACCGGCCCGAAGTCGCCACAGACCTTGTTCATCATATGGTACTGCAACCCATAGTGGGCACCAAATGATTGACCGCAGTGGGGGCAAAGTAGAATATCGCCGCTGGCATTGACTCTGGCCAAGGCCCGAGTGCAAATTCTCTTTTTGACGTGCTGTAAACAGTTAGCGAGCGTGATCTCTGACTGATACGGAGAACATACATGAGTCCATGCAGACATATGTTCGAAGATGCGGCGACAGAAGGTGCACTCTGGTCTGTTGTGATCCTCGGGCCCGTGCCGACGTTGCCCCGTGGCAGTTGTGTAGATCCAGGAACGTGGAATGGGTCCAATGTTCGCGGGAGGTGTTAGGTCTCTGTTAACTGATTGTATAGGAACAGCCGGCGGTGCAGCCGGTGGTGCAGAAGAGGCGGGCGGCGGTGGTGGGTTTGCGGGAGGTGCGCCGGGGGCCACCGTCGGGATGACGTGCTCGTTCTCGACAATGTCGTTCTTGTCGTAGCCAAGTCGTTCAGCCCGGGCGAGGGCATTCACGAGACGTCGAGCTTCGATCGAGGGCAGGCGCATGACGAGAGCCTTGTCGAGGAACGTGTCGCTCGCCTTGGCGAGGATGAGGTCTGAGACCTCGTCGAGGTCCGTCGCCTTCATCCACTTGATTAGATCTGCCTTGCCTTCCGATACGATCTTTGCGCCAAAATCCCTGACGGCTCTGCTGAGAATGCCGCGCTCCGCGCGGTGCATAGCCACGTTCATCTGCGCAAGAGTTAGCATCGTACAGAATGTAGGCGCGACGGACTTCGTATGCCGCGGTAGAAGGTGTACATACGATAAAGGCCATGTGGTAAGCCGAACCCAGCATACACTTCTCGAACTGGTCTCGCATGGCTCGTCGAACAGCCTCCGGGTCGCTCTCCGTGATCAAGGTGCACAGCTTCGTGTAATCCTCCGAGAACTTCTGCGCCTTAAGCAGGTCCGGCGGTAGTTGGATCTTGCTCCCGGAAGGCGGCACCGACCCCGACGCGCTATTTGCGGTGGGCGCGGGGGATGGAGATTGGGTTGGGTTTCCCACATCTGACGAGACGATCGGAGGTTGGACAGCGGCGTGGGCGACTTGCTGCTGTTGTCCAGGAAAGGCAGGCACGGGTACGGGTGTTTGCTTCTGTGCAGACGGCGGTGCGTGGGCCTGCTGATTTTGCATGTTGGGAGACGGTTGAGCCGGAGGAGGATGAGGAGACACTCCAGGCTGGCCGTTGAGAGCTGGTGAAGCTGCACTTCCTGGGCGAGAGTTGTTCATGGCAGAACCAGGACGGTTGAAGGACAGGCCGGGATAGAAGGTCTGCGGTTGAGTGGCGCCGCTGCTGTTGAGCTGCGGGCTCTGGATGCCCGGCACCATGGGCGATGCCATGATGGCGATTCACGAGCGAAATGTGAGGTGTTTGGTGAGGTGTTTGGTGAGGTTCGTGGTGATGTCTTGGTGATACCACGTGACAGGCACGAGGAATGCTGTAATCGAGGCCACTGACCAAACGAACGCGCTGCGACTTGTCAGCTGCCGAGTTCGTGATGCACCTTTCGTGAACGAGGCAACAACTCACATTGCACGATTTGACGCGTTGTTATAAGCGATCGACACGGTTGCGGACAAGATCCAGCGTTGTCGAGATGTCGCGATAGCTCACTTGACGTCGTCGCGTTGAGTGGGCGCGCTCGCGGTGAACGGGTCCAGTCGGGTCGGAGGGGTTTGAAGAGGTCAAGAAGCAAGGCCACTAAAAGGGGGGGGGAGTCTCCTGCTAATTAGAAAAAAAAACTTACTAGCGTTATAGATGTGGGTCCGTTATAGACATTTAGAAGGCAGGCGCTATAATGGGTGGCCTGAGGCAGTAGCGACCCACAGCTATAAACTAGAGCAGGTCTCATTGGCTGCCGAGACGTTTTTGGAAAGGGCGCGTCTCGGACCACGGATGCACCCAATCATAAAGCGCCTACAAGCCATAGCTCTCCCTGAAGCACAGGCCTGGAGTCATGTGTACGTATTTTTAGCCAATTCAATGCAATTCAATCCATAGCCTGAACTCACTGCGCTGCGTACATTATCTTTAAGTGAGGTAAGTCCACCTGGTGCTTACGGCTGCACAGTGTCTGAACACGCGTTCCTCCCCTCAGACATCAAGGTAAAGAGTTGTAGTTGCTGCCTTGGCTCCTGGTACACAATCGCGTTCTGTCACATTCAGACAACAGGCAGAGGAAGTCTGAACAATCAAAGTCCAGGAATACCATTACAGAAATAGCTATTGGTAAAAATACTCGTCATACCAGACGCTTTGTTTGTCGTAAACCCATTCATCAGAAAGCCTCCAATCGACCTCCCTTAACCCGTCCATCCATTCAAGCCCATTTCAACGTCGCTCGAAGAAAGTCATCCTGTCCAATCCCGGGGTATTATCCAGCCTTGTCCGGTCTTTCGCACGTCACGCTCAGATCTGCTCACCGATACACGCCAGCATCAGCCGCTGGTAGTCGCCGCTCGTCTCGCCCTTGATCCGGCTCGCCAGGCTGCGGTTGTACTTGGCCTGGTACGCGCCCTTGACGTTGGCCAGGAAGTTCTGATCCCAGTGGAAGCGCACGACGCGGGCGACGAGGAGGTGGTCCTTGGTGCCGAGCCCGGCCATCGAGTCCTCGAGGAGCTTGGCGGCGTGCATGTACTTGTCGACGGCGTGGCGGAGCTGGAAGAGGAGCGCGTCCTCCATGTGGCCCGAGAATTCCTGTTCGTCCTGCGTCAGTCATTAGGTTACTTGCGAAAAAAATCATGATGCTTTGGGGGAGCGAACTCACCTTCTTGATGACGTCTTCCAGTCTCCTCCTGAACTTCTGCTCGTAGGCCTGGTTGATGGCGCGGATCTGGTTGTCGTTGCGCGTGCTGAGGATGCTGCAGACGAGCATCTCGTCGGTGCCGACCTTGCCCTCGGTGGCCCTGTACAGGTCCATGACGTCCTGGTCGACCTGCTGGGGGATCACGGGCGCCGAGTCCTCCGCCCTGTTGGCGCCGAGCACGATCAGGAAGTGCCGCTCCGTCTTCATGCTCAGGTCGCCCTTGACGTCGTCCTCGAGGCGGCGCCGGAAGGTCTGCTGGTACGCGCTCTTGATGGCCTGCATGTCGGCGTTGGAGCGCCCGAGGAGGACGTCGTTGAGCACGCTCTCCTTGGTGCCGAGGCCGTCCATGGCGTCGAAGAGGTTGTAGATGTCGGACCGCAGGGGCCCGCGCGCGACGGAGACCATGCCCTTGCCGAACCAGCTGCCCGTCTCCTTCTTGACGTCCGTCTCCAGGTCGCGGTTGAAGTTCCTCTTGAAGGCGGCCTTGATGGCCTCGATCTGGAGGGGGTCCTTGGTCGCGAGGCAGCGGATGAGCGTCTTCTCGTCGGTGCCGAAGCCCTTCATGGCGTTGCGCGCCGTCGTCGCGTCGGGCGTGCCGTCCCAGTTGATGATCTGCGGCGGGCCGTAGCCTATCGAGGCCGGCGTCGGGGGTCCGTAGTTCTGCGGGGGAGGCGCGCCATACTGCTGAGGCGGCGGACCCGAGGGCGCGCCGTATCCGCCGGGTGCTGGAGAGTGTCCGTACGGCGACGGGGGGATCGGAGGAGGCGCGCCGTAGCCTTGAGGTGCGCCGTAGCCCTGGGGAGGACCTTGAGGCGGGGGGTAGTGGCCTCCTTGAGGAGGATATTGACCGGGAGGCGGTTGTTGGTAGTAGCCGCCCTGTTGCGGCGGAGGGTACTGGCCAGGAGGAGGCCCTTGAGGAGGATAGCCGCCGTAGCCACCCTGGGGAGGATATTGGCCGTAGCCGGGCTGGCCGTGGGGCTCTGCTTGGGTTAGGCGATTGACGGGAAGATGTGTAGAGGGACGCGACTCACGAGCGCCGTAGCCGTGCTGGCCTGGATACGACATGAATAGCGGAATGCGATGCGCGGATATTATGAGCGGTGGACTGGAGATGTCGGCAGAGTCGGCAGGTGAAGTCTTGAGAGTTGCGTCACGCAGGGCGGGGTAGCGATGCGATGTGCTTGTGCTTGTGCTGACTGCGGGGCTATTGGTTGCTGTTGGTAATCGTGGTCTTCGTAAATGGGTACGATGGATTGATTGCAAGAGGGAGGAATCGGGAATACGGCTTCAGATGGTCTTGGAGGACTGGGCAGCAGCTTCTTATTTAAAGTCTTGCGGTCGTCCTTGTTCCGTATGCAGCAGAAGGATGCGACGGACCCGGCGTCGTGGCTGTGAGCTGGGTGGAATGATGAGCAGCTAGAACGAATGGAAGGATGCCCTACGAGGATGTCACTATGAAAGTCATTCCTTAATCGCCTTAAGCTCTAGTCGAGGGGACCCGTAATGTAAGCTTCGTCAGGCAGCATTATTGGACTGATGACGAGCCCGCCGAGTGGTGGCTTAGTAGGCACGCGCCGGGCAAAATTTCAACAGTCCAGCAACAACAAAGTACAAACATGGCCAAAGGACCCAACGTCATTGAGAAACAGACTCTCGGCGCCTCCACAGAGACCAAAATGTTTCGACCACCAACCCTGTCCACCTGCAGATGCGCCACAGCGGTGCGTAATCCGAGCGGAGCGGAGAGGCGCTGCACAGCCGGAATGCAGTGTAGACAATCGCAATGGTGGTGATTTACGCGTATCTTGGGCAGTGATGAAGATCGTTGGAAATGTGGTTATCATCACGCGAGGTAGATGATGATGAGATAAAAATGACGGTCATCAAGAAGCTGTTGAATTGCCCTACGATGCACGCTCAGGCCAGTTGATGCACGTAAGATATTTTATGCAGGAGTTTTCCTTCCGAAGCCAGACCCTGGGTGCCTGCCAGGAAATGGCACCATGCCAGGTGTGCTCAGCTGACAGTACTTCGATCAAGAAGACCCGGACCCGAAGCGGCCGGGGCGGGGCGGACTCGGACTCGCGGCCGGAAGCGGCCTTGGGTGGATCCAGCCACAGCCTGAGCCACATTAAGAAACACAGCCACCAGTGAGGCCGTTCCGCGACGTTCCCGACTTAAACCCGTCATCCGCCCCAACGCTTATGTCATCCAACGAAAGGTAGAAATCATCTTCAGTAACACAGGATGACAAGGTGCGCCTCCAGCCCCAATGCAACCACGCAATCACCGTCACTCAATGGCTTGCCGTTTATGTCTCACTCTTGCATACGCCATCATCCCGAGCAGTGGGACGTTTTCCCAAGGCCTGGAAGCCCTCTCAGCCGAGTCGCAACACTCACCAGAACGCGGTGGCTGGGGAACCGCCTGTTGATGCCCTCCCATTGGCCAGCCCGCACCCGCCTCGGAGTGCCTAGTGACCCACCTTCCGTCCCGTCACTCAGGTTCCTTCACGGGCCACCCCCGCGACCCCCTGGCCAACCAGACAACCCCTCCATTTTACCCCTGGATCGTTCCAAACCTCCTTGGAACAAATTCACAGCTGGAGCCTCCCAACCACCAACTTTTCCATCACCAGCTTTTCTTTTTTGGCAGCTTCACAAGCGTGATACCGCACCAGTGTCCAGCCATCCGCGTTTGCTAGTGCAAACGCAGTAAAACCACAATGCCTCCCGCTCCCATGTTTGCTTCTTCTCCCCTCTGCTTCTCCAGTTTTTTGTCATTGTCATACGCTGCAGACATCTGTACAGATACACGTACAGCTACAGCTACGGATCATCCATCGTGAGATCGATCGACATCCGCACCCGCATCCACCGTGCGTTTGCTCTGCTGTCCGTTCCCGTCCGTCAAACACCACAACATCACCATCACAATCAGGGCAGAAGCAGCAGTAGTGGCTCCTGCGTCTTGATCCGCCCTCAAGATGCATCCCGCTGCCCCTCTCCCTCTGCTCCTCACTCTGTCCACGGCAGCTCATGCCCTCCCTATCGTCGACTTCCTGCTTCACCCTCGAGCACCCACGAAGTCGTATTCCGTCGTCAACGTCGATGGAGATGCCAGCACCGACGCCCCTCCCATCGTCACCGTCACGAAAGACCCCGTGCAGGTGACCGTCACCGAGCGTGTTAGCCACACGGCCAGTCAGGAGTCGACTGCAGTCCAGCCGACCACAACATCCACCTCCATCGCCGTCGTGAACGTGGGAGGAGATGGGCCCACGACTGTCACCGTCACACCGACAGAGAAGCCTGCTCCTGAGCCGACGTCTCTGCCCCCGACGACACCACCACCTGCTCCCCCGTCAACCACTGTTGTACCGGAGCCGCCAGTGTCATCGTCGGATGTTCCTCAGCCAGCTCCATCTTCAGCTTCACCAAGCGCTCCTCAGTCTGCGCCTGCTTCATCAACTACACCTCAACCCTCCTCTGCCTCAGATGCTCCAAGACCATCGTCGGTCTCATCGAATGCTCCTCCAGCCTCATCACCTTCATCCTTGGTGCCTCAGCCAACGTCCACCTCTCTTCCTATCCCGGAACCTTCTTCAGCCTCGCCAAGCCAGACCCAGCCTGCTCCCTCATCAGTCCCTACGCCAACGGCTCAGTCAAGTATCTTCACAACTAGCACCAGTATCGCACCGCCGCCCGTTGAACCGTCGACCGTCCCCGCTATACCCTCAACTTACACGTCTCCATCTCCTCTGCCCTCTTCTCCATCAGCGACGACATACGTTCAGTCCAGCACACTGAAGACGAGCGCCATCGAGACTCCATCAACACCAGTCACATCAGCCACCCCTATCATAGTCGTGCCTCCTCCTTGGACGGAGACCCCAGTTGCCCCAACCTCCGTTGCCGTCACATCCGCGGCTGAACAAACATCGACATCCGTACCAGTCCCTCCTGTCAACACCACCTCAGTTGCTCCGATATCACCCACCTCGACGTATCCCGTCTGGACTCCCGACTCGTCCAGCAGCACAGCAGCAACCCCAACCCAAGTCTACGAAACCGCCCACCCAACCACCTGGGCGCAAGAAACCAGCACCACTCTGCCTTCAACCTTCCTCACCAGCATCGTCAGCCTCACCAGCTCGCCCTCGCCAATCCCGACATCAACAAAGAGCTACGACGACGGCTACTGGGCCACTAACAAGTATCCCGACGGGAACACCACCGCCACCGCCGTTCCTCAATGAGGCTGTCTCTTTTCTTTCCGTTTATACCAGAGACGACTGAATGTCATCCACGATTTGTGTGTTATGTATAGACCGACACGGCGCAAGGTGGCTTTTTACAAAAAAGGAAAGACGTACGTGTTCATGGGCATATGTGTGTTAATGAGACCCGAGAAATGATGGTTGTTCAAGGCGAAGCCGCCTGTGCTGTAAAGGGAGGATCGTCGGCACCGACCAAGAGCTGGGACGCGCTGTCATGGCTGGGTTTCCTAATGTTTAATTATATAGAAATGTAAATGAAAGATCATATATCATCATCTTTGCCACGTCCGTCGAACGCCTGCTCTCGCACCTGGAACCTCCACTGAGACATCTCAAAGTGAGCTGTCAAATCTTCACAGTATCCTCTCACTCCTCGTGCAATGAAGAGGCTCGATCATCCTGCGACATCCAATCCCATCCGCCTCCACGGCCCTAAGCGAGATTCTCCCGACAACCAAACCCGTCTCCTCAAAGAAGCCGCTCCCGAGACCCCGGCGCCGCAACAGCCATCGCCGCATGGCCAAAACGTGCACCTCGCGAGCGGCGGGAGCCATAAAGCCTTGGCTCCCGCCGCAGAGTCCCGAACTGCAAGTTCCCATGGTACGTCTGTCCACATCCTCACCTTCACCTCTACCTTTATCCTGTCCCGGTCCCCCGCCAGCTACCATTCAGATACGCTACTTCAAACGATGCTTCCCACCGCTTCCACGCCTCGATAGCAACAACAAAGTTCTCACAAAATATGCAACCCGACGACAACACCAGCAACCCTCCCCGCAACCCCCACAGCCCCGAGGACAGCAACAGCGCCCACAAGCCCGCCCCGCCGCCCGGCGTCGTCGCCGGCGCGCTGGCCATCTGCGCGGCCTTTGTCGTCTTCGGCTTCGGGTGCTACTTCGCCTTCCGCTGGCTCTGTCGGACCCGCGCCCGCGAGGCGGCGGGTAAGAAGAAGAAGAAAGCCCTCCCGCCCGGGGCGGAGACGCCGGTACCCCTGACGACGTGGGGATATATACATAGCCGCGCGCCCCGCGGACGTGGTAATGATGGCGATGATGAAGGTGGAAGGGGGAGTAGGAGGCGTGAGGAGTCTGTGTAAGGTGAGTTAGGGAGGTTGAGTGGGCACTGGTGCGGACATGTGAAATCAGACTGACAACTCAGCCTGCAGGGTTTCCTCTTTGCGAGGTGCTGGTCATCTGGTTGGGGGGATTTGGCACGTGGGAATTGGCCTGGTAGCACGGGCTTGATGTCATTGTCGTCGTTCCAGCGACGTCGTGGGGCTTTTGTCCGTGGGCGGCGCGGGATGACGGGGGTCAGGGGATGAGTCCGTATATATCTGACAGATAGTCAACCATTTCGTCGATTTCCATGAGAGGGATCTTGGATGTGTAGAGTTGTGTGTTGTCTAGTTCGCCTTTAACTCCTTAGAAACTGTGTTCTGATTGGTTGCTTGGTGAGTTGGTAGCGTTGAGGCTAGGGTCCTCAATTAGACGGATGTTGGTCGAACCTCACCACAGGCCAGTTCGCGACTCACTTGATGCCTGTTCATCCCAGGTGAGCTCCCAAAAAGTGAAGTCACACCCTCAGCCATGTTGTGTCTCACTATGAACTGTCTTCATTGTGTGCCTGCAGAGTCATGGAGCCTCAGTCCTGGTATATGTGTGTGTGCCGAAAGACCCGAGCTCGACGACGGCGAGTTGCTAGATAGTCACCAAAAAGCGCTAGTCGCATTCGAACAGCTTACTTCCTGCAACTACCAAATCCAGCACCAAGGTGAGTCCGGCTCGGTGAGCAGGCTAAGCCTCGCGATCCAATCGCGAGGCAACACGTCCGTGACTCTTCGGAACAGCTGACGGAGCAAATCCTGGGATATCCCTAACTCTCCAACTTTGTCTGAATGACAGACACTTACTGACAGTGAAGACGGAGGGATTGAACTGGGAGAGCACATGCGTCCCACGCCTTGCTGTGAGCGCACATGGCAGGCTCCGAAGAAGGAGTCGTCATTCCATCATAGTCCAGCTTGGCTCCACGTAGCCTCAGGCTCTTCCGAACCGACTAGGCCTCCGAGGGTGAGATATATATGGTGTTCCCGTAAGGCTTGACTTGGGTGGCTGGAAGTCCAGACACACATTCCCAACCCTCCTCCATCGAGCCCTGGAGACTTCTCACGGTCCCCGAGGGTTCAACAACTCAGAAAACAAATCTCCATCCATCCAAACCTCGAAATGTCACAACCACAATCCTGCGGCCGCAAAAGCGTCCTCGCCACCCTCCTCCTCCTCTTCTTCACCCTCCTCTTCCCCCTCACCACCACCGCCACCCCGCTCACCCCAGAAGCCGCAAACACGACCCTCGACATCTCCTCCCTCTACCTCGACGCGGACGCGGACTGCGTCGGCTACGAGGGCCAGTGGAACTGCCTCTCCGACACGTTCCAGCACTGCACCTCGGGCAAGTGGACCGCGGCGCTCTCGTGCAGCTCGGAGAGCGGCGCCCTCGATTCCTCCTCCAACAGTGTCCAGAACTCGCTCTGCACGCCGCTGGGGAGGACGGATCAGGTCGAGTTCGGGGGCGAGTGCAGCGCCGCGTGGGGGTTCGGGGGAGGGGGGAGCGGATGGGGCGGCGGCGGGAATGGCGGGCGAGGGACGGTTTGTAATGGGAACGGGTGTTATTACGGTGCCGGGGCGAATTTGACGGTGGAGAAGTGGGTTTATGTGCTTGTTGTTGGTGTTGTTGCGTTGGGATTCATGTGAAGGAGAGGCTGAAGAAGAGGCTCTGGGGTTGTTTTGAAGAGTCTACCCATCTGGGGTCAATGTTTTCCCTCAGTCATGATCCAGTTTCATTTGTCATCCAATCCGTCACTTCTGTGGTAAGCATAAGCCACTTTCAGTTCACCAGAAGCTCGCATACTCAGCAATTAGACAGCAGATAGCATTAGAAACTAAACACCGCCTATTATGTCGGCCACAGTATTTAATTCTACAACTCATCGTCGAGGCCAAGTCCCATTATTGCTGTAGCAAAATCATCAACCTCATCCCCTCTATGGCACGGGTACGATTTCCCAACACCGGCAGACGAAGAAGGATTCGCGGTGCCGTCTCTACCACCAACTTCTTCACGCTCTTCCCATTTCTCCCGAATACTTCCAGGCTCGTGATACAAGATATGGTCTCGGTCGACGTGGGCCTTCCACGTGATATCCTCGGGCGAAGAGTAGGCCCCGAAGTCGTACCAAGCGCGCACGAGAGTTGTGCGGCCGTCGTAACACGCGCTGTAGTCTGTCGGACAGCAGCAACACGACCCTCGGAACTCTTGCCCCTTTTGATTTGCCGCAGCTTCGACGACGTATCTGTACTGCTCTCTGCTATGCATCTGTTGCTCGCTGCATACGAAACGGGGAGTGAAGACCTCCCAGTACCACTGATGTTTGAATTTGAACTCCGAATGTGGGCAAATCTGCCTTCGGGTGTGGAGAAAATTGCTCACGTCTTGCGATTCTGCATAAACGAGCAGCCGCCCATCGATGATTTTCGCCTTTCTCCGACTGGGATTTATATTCCCTAGAAGGTAGTTGGGCCTCAATAGGGTTGGCATCTGTCGTGGAAACACCAAACGGTTCTCCGGCCGGGAGAGCTTCAGGGCCATCTGGACATATGCATGCATAATACGAGATGGGACTTTCATGTCGGCTGACTTGAAATTCGAGTCACAGCGGAGGTCGCCGTGATTGAAGGACTGCACCCTACGTATGACGTGAAGTTTGGTGCAGGCCTCGCATACCCAGTGTCTCGGCAACTGATAGGCGAGTATCGCCCAAAAGTTCGTTCGCTGGCGTCGCTGTTGAGGGTCGTTTCCGGCGATGGCAGAGGGCCAATCCTTGTGGGTGAGGCCGCGGACGGTCCTGCATGTCTGCGAGAAGAAGAAGAGATCGCCCAAGTCGAGTTCGTCGAGGATGTTCAATAGTACGTCGAGAGGAATCTTCGAAAACGTCGAGGACGTTAAACCGTTGGAGATGGTTTCTGGGGCATTCATTTTGAGGCGGTACCGTCTGTATCTGGGCGTAATGGCACGAAGCCAGTCGATGGGTTCGCGTAAACAGATGGATTTATATGTGCTCTTTTGACAGATCTCCGAAACACAAATGATATTTGCAAGTGAGGTTATGGATCGAGGGTAGCTATTGGAGTCTGGTTTTGTAAATATCATGCGTATGACTCTTCGGCAACCATAAAAAGAAGAACCCCAAAATCAAGGCACACACATTCATTCCACCTTGAGGATCCAACAACAGCACTTCAGCCCGAAGAAGCTTTTCGAATCGTTGGTGGTAAAAGTGCTTGCAGGTGAGAAACCTTTCCATACCCTGATGAGTGTTGACGCTACGTAACTTTACAGGCGTAGCAAATGTGATCTTCGCCTGCAACGGCGTTGTGAGAACGCGGGCACGAGAAACAAGCCGCGTTAGCGCCAAATTCTTGACCATTTTCCTACATCATGTTTCCCAAATACTTCTTTTGTCGCAAATTATACATGCTGCCGTTGCATTGCTTTTGTGAATCGCCCACAGTTGAGACTACTATACGGTTATTATTCGTGGTGGAATACTCAAGCAGTGATGACGGAAAACAGGAGCAAGAATAGAGACAACAAGGGTAGCAATAAAGGCAACAAGAACAATAAGAAAGGTAACGAGGGTAACAACAGAGGTAAGGAGGACAATGACAGAGGCAACGAAGACAGCACCAGGGGTACCGAGGATAACTATAGAGATAGTAAGGAATAGCTATAAGGAATTAGAAGTAAAAGGTAACTTTAGGAGATTATGTATGCCAGAGATTATCAAGCGGGAGAAGGCTATAGGGAACTAAGATAGAAAAAAATGATTCTCATTGTCTACGACCGTGATGAGAAAGAGGGGGCATATGTGGACGCATGTTTGTTGTACACAAGATAGGCGTGGATTCTATCCTCAAAATACAGTAAAAAGACAACGTTTATGGCTCCAGAAGGATCCGAAAACCCGGAACAGTGGTTGGACTAACAGCACGTGTGAAAGTCTTAAGTTGGACTCAGCTCTGATTATCTTTGTTGAATGATCTGCATTGACAACCTCAGGCGTCCAGCTAGCCGTCTCTGAGCGAAACTAGCTGGTACGGTATTGGTTTGTTGACAATTCCGGCTGTTTCACAAAATGTCATTAGCCACTCTCGTCATAGTCCCGAGCTACTGGCGCTGGGAGGACATTAAAGACGACAACATACCCCGCAGGATCAACATCCCTCATCCTCTGCATTATCTTCGAATCAACGGTGTAGTCATACAAAGTTACTATTTCGCCATGGTAGGAATTGGAGGGAGATCTAAAGCTTGTGACCAGTGTCGGCGCCGAAGAGTGAAATGCGGTAGGTCGACAACCCCTAGTCGTACTGACCAGTTGACCTCAAGCTTGCTGACGGAACCACGTGCAGACCTGACAACCCCCAAGTGCAAGCGATGTGTGAAATCACGCCTTGACTGCGGAGGGATTCGCGGCTTCAATTTCATCCAGTACAACGGGCGCAATGACGTTGAAGCTGTGACGATGAGGCACGCAAAGATCTCGCGTCCATCTTCTGGGTCATCTTCAAAGGTCTCCCCGGAGAAAGGATTAAATACACTTGGAGCGGCAGCTTCAAGTGCTTATGTCCTGCCTCTCAAATTCTTGGACCCATCCATGATGCCAGGAGCCATGGATGATGTTTTCCTCACGTATACTCACACTCACCTTCTTCGAGAGGGCGATGATATCGTGGTACAGCCTGGAACAGATCGGACAATTACCACCAAATGCTTCGTGGCGCTTGCTACGACAATCTTTGGTCTGGATAACAGAGAAAAGCCGATCGTCCAGCGAGGTCTGCGCAGATATGGAGTGGCTCTGAAAGCCCTCAATCGAGCTCTGAGCGATTCTGACGACTGTCGATCATTCGATGTCTTGGAGGCAGTCATCGTGATGGCGCTATTTGAAGTAAGCACAGGCTTTCCAACGCGTCTCGTGCTGGGAAGAGGGTAATACTGACGTTGCAAAGTTACTCGTTGGCGATCGCGAAGATGGCTGGATAGGGCACGCACGAGGCTTCGAACAACTTCTGGATATGAGAGGACCCGAGTCGATGCAGGCACTGCCATGTCTCATCATCTTGGAGAGGGCCCGGACGGCCATGATCTTCGCTGCGCTTGTCACTCATAACCGCACCTTGATATCAAACCCGAAATGGAAGCAGATTCCATGGATGCTTCATCCAGAGCGCAAGGACGCCTTGCAGCTCCTTCTCGACATCGTTGCGGACTGCCCAGACATCTTCGTTCTGCGAGACCAAGTTCTCACCCCTCGGAAAGGAGTTCCACTGCCGATATCCATCCCATCGCTACGAGACAAGGGCCTGAAGATACTTCATGATCTAGAGAATTGGGAGACGCTTTGGGGATCTATGGCGCTCAGTCGATGGGATGCAGTTCCTTCTCCCAGCACCACTCCAACACACTCGCGCCCAGATGGACTTCGACAGCTGGCATGGCCCACAGTCTTACGCTACCACTCCCTCCACGATGCTAGTGTTTCTACCACATTTCACGGGGCTTTGATCCTTGTTTTGCTGTTCATTCAGAGTCTGAATGTGGATTCGCAAGAGCCGGCAGAAACAGGGCAACTAAAACGAATGTACGTCTCGGGGATAACGATTTGTCGCAGTGTGGACTACCACCTGGAGAAACTACGGGATGTCGGCAGCTCATCCATCTTGTTCCCAATGAGAATGGCGTTTGAGATCGTAGGAAAGACGGATAAAGATATTGGCACCTGGCTGGCTTTCCAGCTGAAGGTGATTTCGTCGGGCTCGTCCGGTCGGTGGGCCATGGCGGAACATCTGTTGGGCATGAGGCCGACATAAGCAATAAGTATGGGTGCGAGTACTTAAATATGTCGACTATCCGTATGTCGTTTCATTTGATTGAGAATAGTGAGATAAGCTGGTCCAAGTCGGCGGTCCATACTGACAATGTTCAATTCTTTAGTGTGCTGAACTTGATCCTCTGCAATTTTCATGTCAATCTGTGGAATTGGAAACTCTATGAAAGACTGCGATGACTGATGGGTCAGGTTTCGTACTATCATGGCAAACCTGAGTCTCTCTGGACAATCATGGCGACAAATGACGTGACAGGCAACAATATTGCCGCAAAGGCCACAGCGACAGCGACAGCGGTTCAGTTTTATAAGTCTCACATTGCCTAGCAGACATCCAGGAAGCAATAAAAAAACGCGAACATGGTTTAGCCCAAATGTTTCTCAGCCAGAGAGCCGCTAGCTTCCCACATCTTGCTGGCACGCTTCCACTCTTCTCTGCTAAAAGTACGTAGAGAAATTTTGAATGACTAAGAAAACACACCAGAATTCTCGGTCTGAAGTCATCGGGCATCCTTTGGATTGAAGGCTGGAGTCCGTCTGTGGTAGTCCGGAACGCGGCAAACGATCCACAGATCGGCCTCACTTAGGCGGGTTTGCGCTATCGTGACGTCACCCACGAGGCGCATCACAAGACCAAGTTTCCTAGCCTTAGGCTGTACGACGCACGTATTCTTGGCTGTATTTATTATTCATTAAAAACGCCGTCTCTCATCTCTTGCTCACTTATTCTCCGACCTGAAGTAACCCGAATCTAAAACAACAAAACCATCTCCTCGAATATTTGACCAACATGGCTGCAAACACCAACACCGCGGCTCTCAACGCCGAGAACCTGGGCACCGGAAACACATACCAGAATCCCAGCGTGAACCCGACTGCTACGCAGGGCACCGCTGCCACCAACATCGGTGAACAGCGTCTGGGCGGCGACAGCACGAACCCTGATGCCGGCTACCACGGCACGACAGCCCCGGCGGGTGCGCAAGCAGGGTACGGTAGCACGACAAGCACTGGTGTCGGAAGCTCCATCGGACGGGAGGCCAACGTGCCCGCAACAACTGCCACTCACGCTCACACTGGTCCGGCGGGACAGGTCGGCGGCGGAGACGCGCCGACGACGCATGGCGGTGGTATCGGACACCAGATCAAGGGCGCCTTTGCTCAGACTCACGTAAGCACTCCAAGCCTCAGCAGCTTGAGGAAAACTAGATGACTAACTCTACAAAGGGCGTGGGCGAGGTGTTGAGAGGAAAGTTCAACTCTGCCGTGGATACTGTGGCAGGTGACTCAGAGGGTCTGGCGAAGAACAAGAACATCACCACTGGTGGCGAGAGAGAGTTTGCGAACAAGGACTTTGTGAAGAAGGGGACCACTGATAAGGCTCTCTGAGCCATGAAACTTGATGATGGTGTTCGGTTGAATTATATACCCACAACATGAATAAACACAAGCGGAAAGCGGCAGATTATCGTTGATTCTTCAACGCTAGATGAACGAGCATTTTGACATGATTCATCTATGATTTGGTTCCATTGCCTGATTTTAGGACATGATCGTGGCTCTTGTTAGCACATGTACGTCTGTCCTTCTCGCCCAACCAAGGCTCATCATCCAGGTCCTCGACGAGACTTGGTGTCAACCTGGATGGCGTTCATTTGTGCTAAGTTTTCAAAACCTTCGGCAACGGTCAGACTAGACCGCCCTATGTAGACAGGTATTTAAGGTGAACAAGTGGTAAAGAATCCGCAAATTCTTTCCATTCTTTAACACCGATTTCTCTGATACTTCCAATACCTTTCAAATTTGTCGAAAATGGCCATCGAAGCGGAATCCAAAACCTTTCGTGAAATCGGGGAAATCTGCAGCAAAGACCCCACTCGAATCCAAAGACGCCTCGAGCTAGAAAAGTGGTTAGCGAGCAACAATACTACTGTTTCACGGATGCCCTGTAGTCTCTCGGAGAGCAAAAATGGGAAAGCAAACCCAAAGCCTCGATCCACGAGGTTCCAACGAACGACAGTCAGCAAAGGCTATGGATTGCTTTCACGAGCGCGGGCCTGGATCTCGAGACGACCGCCAACGGTCCAAACGATCAACTACTATCAATACACACCGTCTGCACACCGACCTTCGATTCAGTTCTTGAGAGTAATGTCGGGTTTGGAAGAGGGAGAGGTTGAAAAAAACATCCTTCACCCGCAACGCTGGCCCCAAGATTGGAACTGGAGATCGGTCAGCCAGCATATGACTGCCGACGTAGAATTTCCGGTCTGGATCTGGATAATGTTCAAAGATTTCCCAAAGCAGCTCCAACCTGGCCTCTCCTGGAATACGACTGAGCGACTGGACCAAGAAAGGATGGAATGTGCCACAAATGGCAAATGGACGCGCGCTTTATATTGGAAAGATTGCCAAAAGGTCCCGATGTGGGAGGCAAGAGTACAAATAACGGGCTCAGACCCGCATTTTCTTCTCAACTTGGACCCCGAACAGTTCATAAACCTGCAGAGCACCACAGCGTAAGTGACATTTGTTGAATCTTGGTATGGAATGCTAATATGGGTCTTCTAGCTTTTGGCTGCAACAACGGGTAAGCGTGGGAAGTTATAAAGAAGTCGTTAGGTACAGCAAAGGTCTTCTTTATGGGAACGACCTTCTCGGTCAAAACGTCCGACCTTTGACCAAAAGCTTACAGAACGACTTCGAGACTTTTGCGGGACATATATTTCCAAGAGTGGAGGAGTCCATTTAGCTGGTAGAGATGTCGAATGGAGGCGAGCGCACCACCTCGCCGAGAACACCGAGGACGTATCGCTTTGATTAAAGTCGACATTATCCTGACATAGCTACATATCGTCTTCATTGCAATGGCAGTTATCTCTAATTCTTATTACCTTAATGATATCTAGTATATATACTTCTCCCTATTTATTTTGTCCTTATAACTACTCCTTATTAGCTTTCTTACTATTGTCACCTCTATCATTTTCGTTGCCATCCGTGATTACTATCCAAGTACTCACCAAGGAATCGTGGGGTGGTGTGAAGCTTGATTGGGGGCGAATCACAAAATTATATACAAACAGTATATACATCGTAGGATAGAGGAAGTAACTAGAGAATGCGATAAAGCTTGTGCCAATGAACTCAAGCTGTCTGTGAAATTCTTTTAAGTAAGGTTCATCACCTCCTAAACTGCATCACTGATTTCTCTAACTCAAGAAACGCCCAATGTTTATGTTTACTTGAAGTAATATTCCAATAGTCAGTCTCAATCTGCTGTTGCTTCTTGCTGTTGCTTTTTTACACGCAGCCTCAAATGGGGAACACATATATAAATTAATCTACCACTTTAGATATAATCCAATGCGTTATGCTAATAGAAGTCAAGGTAAATATAGCCCATCAGAGTTCCATTGCAGCATGATGACTGGCACTAAATATTGATGTTGTATTAGATGAGACCCTATAGCACACCCTATTAGATTTGGTCTTCTGTCTATCTCTTCCGCGGATTCCGCAAATATTCTCGGATGTCTCCTTTGAAAGACTGTCACTAGCGGCTTTGCCACAACACGATTCGAATACATCGTCTTAGATTTATTATCAGTGTAGCATGATCAAGCTGAACAGCAGAAGTTTGACGCCATGAAGATTAATTCGTACTTATCGTTCTTGTGTACCTAGGCACGAGCGAGTTCTTCACTGGCTGGTGGGCTAAGCTGCCAGGCAAGAAGACCTCACTGCCACGAGGACTCAAGTTCATGCTTATGGTATGATCCACTCGGATTACTGTATTTACTGAAGTCCCATGGAAGGATCGCGGGGACCAATATCCTCCTATACCAAGCTTTCGCAGCCTGATGCTTACATAGCGCGCTTATTCCATCTTCGTCGGGTGCCTGGCCGTTCGGCTTGGCAAATCATAAACGAGCGAATAGCGTCTCAGGGGCCCATCAGCTCATCTGACTGCATTTGCGAAAGGTAGCATCGGCTCACCTCAATTTTGAACTCGAGGCCGCTCAAAGCTGAGAGGTGCGATCTGACCAACCAGATGCAAGGAAACGGATCCTCGAGACTTCTCTCAACTGATATTCGCATTCTAGCCCTACGCAAGTCCTTCCTTCTCATGCACATGGTTGTTCTCACAAAAGGTGTTATGGATTGGTTTGTCTTGATACTACCTTCCGACTTGGGCCGTCTTCCGAAGTAATTGAGTTGTCTAGCTCATGCCCATAGGTTCGATGCGTCTCCATGTCAGACTTATTCTCATTTCAGGGTTGTTTTCTCGAGTTATGCGTCTTGGCGCTCGGACTTCTAAGCGCGTAGCCTGCGTAAAGTTGGGTTGCAGGATTTCTAGCCCTGCAACTCCAAGGGTAAACGCATCCATAAGCGACATTCCGGTGAAAGGCGTGCTGTAGTCCGAGTATTGTGCTGTTGACTCCATATTGTCAGGTTGTTCCGCCTAGACTTAATAACTCACAACATTATATAAGGAGCCTCATCTCCAGCTGGACCGTAAGGAGCTTGTATAGGCCAGGCCAACTCAGCTATTCTTCCATCTTTCGCTAAACTTCCTCACAACCCTTTGGTAGCTCCATCATGGTTCGTCTCAACGCTCTTACGGCTGCTGCCGTCCTGTCTTTTGCCTCGGCTGTCTATGGCGCACCTACGCCGGATGAAGTCAACTTGCCTCAGCCTGAGGACTTCAAGACTCAACTCGGGTACGACCCCGACTATGATGTCGCTGTTCGAGGCACGCGGAGAGTTGCGAGCAACAAGAAGATTTCCGAGATCATCCCGGAAATCATCACCGTGAATGTTGCCGACATCCCGCAGAGCAACGCCACAGAGTTTCCCGCCTCGATCATTGGCCCTGCGGAGCCGGAGTCCGCCAAGCGTGCCATTCTCGGCAACGATGACCGCGTGCTCTGGACGAACAGAGACTACCCCTACCGTGCAATGGGAAGAATCTCCCTGTCCAACGGAGTGTTCTGCAGCGGCGCTCTTATCGGATCCCGGCACGTGGCCACTGCTCGCCACTGCATCCCCGGCGAAGGCGTTTCCGCCCGTTTCCAGCCGGCTTACGACAACGGCGAGGTCCTTGGCGGCTATGATGTGTCCGTGGTCTTCCATGCCACATACGGCCAGACCGGCTGGTGCGCGAACGGCTACGATTGGGCCATCTTCGTCCTCGCCGAGAAGGCAGGAACTGCCAACGGCTGGCTCGGACTCAAGACCGTCAACCCCGACACGCAGCTCAACAAGCCCCTCTTCTTCCACTACGGATACCCGGGAGACAAGGGTGGATCGCGACCTTACCGTCAGGAGTCCATCACAGCCACGGCTGCGACTGGATGTGACCGTGGATCACCAGTTGTCACCGATACTGACTCTGCAGGAGGTCAGTCCGGCGGCCCCGTCTGGATTTATGAGGATGGTAGCCGTTATCTGTATGCAATTCATGTTGGCAGCACCGATACTTTCTCTGTTGCGGCAGGAGGTCCGTCGCTCTTTGATGGCTTCGGGATTTTGCTTAAGGACTACCCGTACTAGAGCTGTACGGAGCATGTCTCGCATGCCTACATCTTCAGTTGCTCAATCATTGCCAACCATAGATTGAGCTCAGCAAAGGCATGGCTACATAGTTCTTACTACATAGTTGAGACAATGATCAAGAATGTTCTTGGCGACTACAGTTTGTGCGTGCGCAATGTTATGTCCATGTCGTTACTCACTCGTTCACACTCAAAGCAGTATACTTAGTTTCTCATAACACAATTCAGACTCAAATGTACAGTCTTGAGCTACGACTTGGAACGCCCAATCTAACCAGCAGGAATTTGCAAGGAGGCCAAGCAGAAAATACGATCCGGTGGGATACTTGGCGGAGGGAATAGAGTGCCACGAACATTAGTTAGTCTCGCACTGAGCATTCGACACAAGGATGCGGCGCATTGGCAACTGCAGAGCCTCACGATAGTTGAGTCAAACCCCTAGGTTCCTATCGGCAATTGGGCCGCGGGACCCGTATAAATCAGCCCTGGGGAGAAAATACTAGGTTGATGCAACATCCACAGTGATCTAGCGGTTATATCGAAGATCCATCCGTGTTCAGACAAGGATTACCGTTGTTCTTGAAGCGTCAGTAGCATCTGTGCGGCGCAATAGATCGATCTAGCCGAGGCGTTCATCTGGTGGTAAAAGAAAACTTTATCGAATATCTCGGTGAAGTTTTCCTACATTGAAAGATTGTATTGCCCCGCAGTGATATTGGACTTTAAGTGCATCCTCTTGGCACAGAGAGGAACTTGCATGGTTAGTCAGGCGTGTGTGATATCTTGTCGACAATGTGGGAGAGAGCTGGGCGTGTCAAGGTTGCTACTTGAGATGAACTCTCTCGCCGAATGATCAGGCCAGCACCAAAGAGTCTGGTAGCAAGTTTCTAGCAGGATGGACTTCAACCTGGCTTTCCTATCACTCCTCATGTTATTGGCCTTACATCCTGATCAAATCGAGTACTGCGCGGAAGAGTCACCATGTTCAGATGACTGACATAGACAGGATCAGAACCACGAATCCCCTTTTGCACGGTCTTCATCATAAGCTTTCCGATGGGAGGTTTCCAATAGACATCAGAAGAAGTCTGTGCCTGTTCGTGCTACTGGTCCCTAAAGAGCTTCATGATCAATGCAAAAGCTAAGCTCTGGCCACTGCCAACGTCGAGTAAGATAATGATGGGGGCCAAAGTAGTGCCAAGACAACAGTGGCGCAGCCGGCAATTCAACATGCGGTAATGGGCGTCTTATGATCCGTGTACCACTATTTACATTGTCATACCTTGTGGCTCATCCAAGAGGTTGAAGCTATCGATGAGGCCGCGATGTGGGCTTTGTCGACTCAGCGGGCAGAATTGACTGTTTCGATGTGTTCCTTCGCCAAAGAACAGCTTGGCCAAATGAGCTGGCTCGTGAATCTTGGCTCGACTGACATAGGTTGAGGTATAAGAAGGACTCATGGAGTCCCATCCAGCCCAATCTTGAATCATCAGCTCAACACAGTTCACTCACTTCGTTCTTTACTATCATTGTCACTCTTTCGAACTCAAACATTTACTTTCTATAGAATCGCTCTTTTCTCTTCAATACTTCTCAAAATGCGCTTCTCTGCTGCCACGCTTCTTCAGGTTGCGCTCTGCGCCTCCTCTGTCAACGCCTTGGCGTTGCCCCAGGCTGATACCAAGCCCATCGACGAGCGAGCTGCTGTTGGCGACCTCGTCCCTACCATTGAAGCGTCCCTCGCCTCGCGGGCTGACCTTCCACCTTCTGGTTCCGTCTCTCTCACAGGTCAGAAGGACACCGATGGAAAGTTCATCGTCAAGCCTGCCCCCGAAGGCGAAGACACCCAGGCGCTGCAGAGGCGCGCCAGTCCTGCTGTTGTTGCCATCGCAACACCCCTCATCAACGGAATCGGGGCTGTTACTGCCGCCGCCATTAAAGCTGCCATTGGCGGCCTGGTTTCCATGGCTTTCTGGAATCCCGTACGTTTTAGTCTTGCCATCGCCCGAGAGAGAATTTATCAAAAGTAACATACATACTTGCCAGGTCCGCGAGAACTTCACCAAGAACACCGTCAAGCGCATGTGGGATAGCAACCCCAACCCCAGCCTCTACGCGGCCGCGGTTTGTTACAACAAAGGCTATGGTCTTCAGCGGCCCGACGGGGTCAGTGGAAAGGTCAGCGCTAAGCTTAGCCTTGGTGCTCTGAACACAGAGTAAGTCCATAGTCAACGTCTCAATCTCTCTGTATGACCGCGCAACTAACGAAACTTCACAGCTATGATTGCATGTACATGGAGGGCAACAACCAGTTCTACACGCACAGCGAAGGCGGCTACATCAACGTGAGTTATCTCTGAACAGAATGTCACGGGAAAAGACTTACTAACGACGTGTTACTCAGCTTGCTTACCACTACGACTCCAACCGCTGCACCTTCATCAGGGACAACGGTGACCTTCACTGCCGGTAGAGTCGCAGTGGTATAAAGTCGCAGTGGTTCAGGTGGAGATGTTCTATGAGTTGTCCATAATGCTTTTTATTTTCATGTTTCCGTCTTTCTGATGTAAGTCCGATATCTACGTCTCCGTGTCTATATGTATGCCGCGAACCGCAATCTTTGCTCTTTGGGTGTGAGACCTCTTGAGATGGCCGGTAGGGGTCCGGTAGCGACTTTAGTCAGCCGCTGCTGACCAAATACACAATCACTAATCGTTCCAACCAACAAATCCAATTGCTCTCTGCGGTCGTGCATCCTTCACAGTCTGCGATGGTTTTAAGCACCACCGGAAAAGCAAAACTGCTATTGCGAAACCTCGATTTAGAAGATGTCTTCATCCACATCATTGAAAAGAGGCAGACCATCAAATCACGATTCCATCACGCAGGGCTTCGGGCCCGTTTCCTGCCAGAAATGTCGCTCGAGGAAGATTAAGGTACGAAAAGCTGAGCAAAAGATTCAAAACCTATCGAGAAAGAGTAGCCGCTCTACCAATTGAGCAGTTTGAGCTAATCGCTTTGAGATAGTGCGGGGGAGAATATCCCTCGTGTCTTGCCTGCGTCAAAGCAGATGTCCCATGTATCATCGCGGACCCTTCAGCGCCAAGAGAGGTCACCCGAAAGTAGGTCAATGAACTCAGTGGCCATCCCACAACAAAGAACACATGAAAAATGCTGACATTGATGTTGCCTAGGGAGTTCGCTCAGCTACAGCAAAAGCTGTCGAGGCTCGAGTCTGCCCTTTCCTTGGATGGGTCTGCAACGCAGTGTGGCAGATCAGCCGAGGTCCCTCGGTTCCAGTCGAGTGAATTGAGCCCGGGAGCAAGCCGTTATGTTGGCGAGGAAAATGGGATGAAGTAGGTCCATTCAAACATATCACTCTAAGCCTCCGATAGAATCACATTAGTTGACAAGAACGCAGTTTCTTCCTAACGAGGCTCCAAACCTTTCGCACGCAACAACACTCCTCCACGTTGCGCCAACGCAGCTTGCTGTCTCAGGTCACGTCCCCGTCAATCTTCCATCACCCACCGCACCGAATCCCACCTCGCGCCGCTGCATCTCGAGCATTGAAGGAATAGTATGATGAACTCATTCTCTATGACCCCTATGACACATGCTGACGCTTTCCCTGCTCCCAGCTTCGTGGGATTCCATGTTGCACATCCAATCTTGGACGAATCCAAGACCTATGCCACGCTGGATGACTTACCCTCTGTCCGCGCAGATTCGTCTGCCCTGTCAAGTTCAGAAAGACATGGCTTGTTTCAGCTGAACATGGCTCTGGCGCTTGGAAGTATCGGGCCGTTCCGCGATGGCGACTTTGACTTCCATCCCTTCGGATTCTTCACCGCTGCGTTGGAGGCGAACCCCATATCAGCATCGTGCTTCAGCACTGTCGAAGACATAGAGAATCTCATGCTTATTGCCCACTTCGGCGTCTTTTATAACATAGGTGAGTCTCCAGCACCACTTACCAGTTGCTTGACCCGAGTCTTGCGAGGTATTATGCTCACACATTGTAGGGTGGTCCATCTGGGAGCTTGGGCGCCTCTGTATGAGAATGAGTGTGGAGTTAGGCCTGCATCAACAACGAGCCCATCTTCCCGGTGAGCATGCTATTGACATCGATCGGTGTCGGACAATATTCTGGGAGGTGTACTTGTTGGACCGCCTTTCTTCGTCTACTTTGGGCCGTCCACTTGCCATTCAAGACTCAGCAATCACCGCTCGACTGCCTGGAGGCCAGCAACTCTCACTGGAAACGCTTTTACCGTCCCCTGCAACCCCGTTTAGCTGGCGTGTAGGCCTGGGCCGCCTTCAATCCAAGATTCATCGCGCCCTGAGCGCTAAAGACGCAACACACTTGGCGGCGAACAGGTTTTGGCAGAGCTCAGCCCCCGGTCAAGATTGCCATATAGGTCGGCGTCTCTCCTTGCTTCGAAAGTTTCATAACGAGTTGCTGGATTGGCGGTCCAAAGCACCGAAGTCGACAGTCCCACGATGCCTCTATGAGACCTCCGAGTATTACGAACTAGCGTACCAGGAAGCGCGTCTCCATCTTCTCCGAACCGTTATCGACAAGCTTCCTCCAAGCACAAAGATACCACCGGAGAGTCTTCTACGGCCGTGTCTCCAGTCGGCCTGCACCATCATCACCACATTTGACCACCTGAAACGCAGCAATCGAGTCACCTTCACGCGAGCATACACGCACATGATTTTCGTCAGCAGCCTGGTCGTGGCGTATTGCATCAACGTGGACATGTATCAAGGACGGCAGCCGAATGGGCAGAGCGCAGACATGGACTATGAAAGTTGGCTGTCCAATGTCACGGATCCGTCGTTCAACTTGGACGCGAACGCCGTATGGGCAATTCTCTCAGTCGCAGGGAATCTTTTGTCTTGGTTTGCCCGAAATATGCCTGACGTGGCAATATACACCAACTTCTTCCATGATCTCAGAAAGGGGCTTGAGACAAGCTGGGCGAACGTGCCCCGAGAAGACCAGCGAGAAGAGGCATCTCGATTGACTAGCTCAAATGCCGCTGTTACGAAGTCTCCCACAAGCAATATGATCGTGGCGGGTGCTAGTAGAGAGAATACCCAAACATTGGCTCCTGGTCCTGAGGTGAGTTTGGATACCACCAATCCGGCACAAGAACCTGGCATACATGGATACAGTTACCTGTCTTCACTTGGAGAATCGTGGAACCCCGACGATCACGGGCCAGAAGTTCCCGTTGAGAATGAGTATCAACCATTTCTTGGAGGCACAAGTTCGTTACTTATAGAGGACTCGTGGCCTTTTTTGGACATTCTTGGTATGGAAGGGGTTGACGCTAGTATGTCTGGCTATGTGTGGGATACAACAGCTCACCCCCAATAATCGTCCTTGACTTCACTAGTGTTAGTGAAGCAGTTTTTAACAGGAACACAAGCAGGTGAAAGAATTCAGATTGAAAACTATAGATCTTATCACACCGAAGACTTGCTTAGACCCTGAAGAAAGTCGTAAACCTTGTCCGTCGCAGCGTTGATGGTTGCTATCTGAGTTTCGTCCGTCGCGGCCGCAATGTGAGGAGTTCCAACAAACCGTGGGCACTTCCATAAGCGGGCATACTTTTGAAGCGTCGGGGGTTCCTGGATATGACAGTCGAACCCGGCGCCCCAGATCCAGCCATGCTCAAGGGCCGTGGCCAGGTCATCTTCGTTGACGGTGCCCCCGCGAGCAGTGTTGAGCAGAATAGCCGTACTCTTCATGCGTTTCAACTGCGGTGCAGAGATAAGGTCCCTCGTCGCTGTCGTCAAAGGCACGTGAAGGGTGACGATATCCGAGGCATCAAGAATGTCGTCCAGGCTGTCGACCCGGCGATGGGGGATCGAGTTCCACGGACTGCTGCCGTGAGGTTCGAAGTACGGGTCGAAGGCTAGTATGGAGGCCTCCAGCCCCCCTACGAACATACGAGCAACAGCTTGCCCGATATGACCCATGCCGACGATGCCGACCACCTTCTTACGTAGCAGCATGCCGCTCACCGTCTCCTTGCGGCTAACCTCCCCGTCGACCCTCTGCCGTAAGACGATTTGAGGTACATCCCTAGCGACAGAGAAGGCCAAACATAACGTCATCTCCGCGACCGCTCCAGCGTTTACGCCGGGCGAATTGCAGACCTCGACGCTCCTGGCCTTGCAAGCCTCCAGGTCGATCTTGTCGAGCCCGACGCCTTGTTTGCCAATGACTTTCAGCTGCGGCGCCGCCACCAAATCATCGTCGGTGATGTAGAAGTCCTTAATGAGGATCGCCGTGGCGTTGGACTTCCAGTTGTTGGCCTCCGGGTCGCCAAACAGAACACAATCGAATAGAGACTGTGCGTAACAGACTGCTTCCGGGTGAAAGTCGCTGAGGATGTACAGCTTTGGCTTAGCCGGGGGATTCCGAGCAGCTACACGCTCAAGTCTTGGTTCAGACGCATGGGGTGTCATATTGTATGATTTTAATTGAGTTGAATAGATGGTGGCTTGAAGGACTGCATTTCTGTAGGTACGCATCTAGGAGCGAGCTTATTTATGAACATCCTTTTTACTTTGATGCTGATTTTCGTCCTTTTCGCCTCCCTTCCCCAGGCTCAGTGCTGTAAACATCCAGAATCCGACTGTGAGCGTGAATCAATCCAACCTGATGCAGCGAATGATAGCGTGGCTCGCGGCCGGCCCGACGGGCGCTCGCAAACTATCCGATCGGAGCTCGCTCACCGTCCGAATGTCCCACATCGTCCTTCTGGGACTTCATCCGTCGCAACATGAGCGAAGAAGTGGTCGGTTTGTTGCAGATCTCCATCTCTACTCACTATCGCTGTCCCATGGAAGGCCGGGACTGTTGGCAGGTCTGCTGCGGACGATCAACATGATTTATAGTTGTCCGTTTCTTTACCCGCCCATGATGCGATTCCCGTTATCTTGTCTTCCCAGCAAGCCTACGCCGAAGTTTTGAATAACTCGAAGCCATCACACTATAGTGTGAGGAACTTTACTGAGAATGTCGCAGACTTCAGTGTTAAATAACCTGTTGAATCAGGCTTCTGCCGATAAGCTGTGCAAGGTGCGTACACCATGAGGATGACCAGCAAGACCTATGGTCATCCCAAAAGCAAGAAATGCTCAGGTCATTAATAAGACTCTAACACAAACTTGGGGTAAAGGCATTCGGTATCAGATTCGTTACCAATCCGGCCGTGGTGCAGCTCGCTCGGAGTGCGGGATTCGACGCACTTTTCATCGACCTGGAGCACTCTACTCTATCGCTCGACGAAGCCAGCCGGCATTGCGTGGCAGGCCTCCAGAGCGGCATCACACCATTTGTACGAGTTCCGCACCAGTGTGGTAACGGGTTCGTGCAGCGTGTACTTGATGGCGGTGCGATGGGAGTTGTGTTCCCTCACATTCACAACGTCGGTACGTCATCTCATTCCATCACACCTATGGCTCACGCAGTTTACATCAAGACGCAAAAACGACTTATCTTGCTGACCTTTTTTCCATGACAGACGATGCCAAATCCGCCGTCGCCATCTCCAAATATCCCCCTCTCGGTGTCCGCTCTATGACGGGACAGCTACCCCTATTCGACCTAAAGCCGACGCCTGTCGATAGCATCATCGACCAGACCAACAAAATCGGATCTTCAGTGATCCTTATGATAGAGACGCGCGAGAGCGTTGACAATGTGAACGCCATCGCCGCTATCGAAGGCATCGACGTGCTCTTAATTGGCTCCAACGACCTCGCAATCGAGCTCGGCGTCCCCGGCGACTTCGGCAGCAAGGCGTATCGCAACGCACTGGAATCAGTCAGCTCCGCTTGCAAGGCCCACGGCAAGATATTCGGCCTGGCTGGGGTTTACGACGCGCCAGAGCTTCAGCGATGGGCCGTTGGTGAGCTAGGGGCGAGGTTCATCCTGGGACAACAGGATTCGGGACTTCTGGCGTCGGGGTCCAAGAAATGTATTGAATCTTTGAATAGCATTATCTGATGACGACGGAGGTCCAGTTGGGTGAAGCCGATGATGAGAAACTGGCTAGGAGCTCTCAGACTCCGTAAATATCTGGCTGCTGACCTGAAGCCGAAATATAGACTATTGCTTGTGCGAGTTGTCTCAGATGAAACGGTCCAATGCCTAAAGTAGCCTTGAAAGTTGATCGAATATCACTCTGAGGGGTACCTGTTCTGGCATCTTGGTGTAACCTCGCTCCCGAGCGTGGCAGCGAATGTTCGTTTACGACTGACCGAATGCCGTCGACCAAGGCTCGGTATTCGTGGATCTTGGGGAACTGACGTCCGACGATCTCCATATTATGCAACGCAACATCCAGAAGCTCGCCAAGAGGATAAGAACTCGCCGATGCCGGTGTTTTGCGAGCTTCTCTCTCGCCGACAGCCATGCAGTACAGACAAACCAGGCCCATAGAGAAAGCACTGTATCCTGTTATGAATGACAGAAAGTTCCGCCTGACCATGCGTCTGCGGTGGAAGCTCTGCGCCACGGCCCGAGAGATATCTACGAGGTTCATATTGGCAACCCGCCTCTGCTCGCATTCGAGGCACTCTCCAGGCGATAACAACGTTGTGCAATACCCGTACCGAACGTAAGCGAGTATGTCATCGGTGTTGTTAGTCTCGTCGAAAATATAGCCTGTTAATATCTTCCTGATAGCGATCCTGAGACAGAGAGTGTTGAATAGAGAAGTCTGGTGCAGGTTGATTTCTTGCAGGGCCGGGTTATCTCGAGAAGGCATGCTCGCCCGCCATTCCAGGGCATGCCCAATGCACAGCTCAAAGATTCCAGTATCTGTATCTGAGCCACGTGAAGGGTCATCGGCTACCGAGGAGAGTAGGATGCCGTAACGAAAGAGATGGACGTAGGAGACCTCCTTATTACCTGGGACCTCAGGCTCTCCGTCAGGATTTGGGAGTAACGTCGTGATATCTCGTTCGTCAATCGAGAAGGGTCTCCCCAAGCCAGCGCAAATCAGACGGTCAAGCCAATAGCATCCCCAGAATGCCCACCGTTTCTGCTGCGTCTCGGCAAGGGATACATCTGTCCGGTCCCTCGAGTCCTCGCGGTGATATCCCAGCGCAATACACTTGCTCATCGCGAACCCGACAAGATGCCATGCGGAACCCGCCGTAGAACAGTGGAGCGACAGAATAACGAGCATCTGGAGGCACTGGATGATGTCCACCCCGTCCTCCTGGTTGAACACGCGGTCCAGAATCCGAAGGCACTTGCCCAGCAGGTGGACCAGCACCCAGGAACCCTGCGCGATGGGGTAATTGTCGCTCACGAGGGGAACTATGGCAACGACGGCGTAGGCCATAAAGATGTGCGCCGGGTCCGTCTCCAAGACCCGCTTATACTCGTCGTCGTCCGCGGCGGAGATGGCGTCGATCCCGGCCTGTACTTTGGCTAGGGGCAGTCTTGGAAAGCGGAAATCGACGAGCTCGAGGTACGTCGCCAGGGCCTTGGCGGCCTCGCGTCGAGGGATGTGCAGGCGGCGCGAGACGCCGACGGGGTCGCGGATGTACTGCGAGATGCCGTCCCAGAGCGGGTCGACGCGAGCCGTGAGCTCCGGGTTACCGCCGTACGTCTCCGTCACGCCGGCGACTAGCCGCGCCATGGAGAGCTGTTTGAGGAACTCTTCCTGACGGCTGCGCGGTTCGGCCATTGCGCTCAGCGAGAGAAAGGAGATGTCCATGCCGCACGCGGTGGGTAAGACGTCTTCAGCGTGTTGACTGCTGTTGGCCTCATTCTCAACGCGCATTCTTGGCATCGAATGTGTCGTAAGCTCGCCTTCGGGCGAGCTGCTAGGTTCGGGATCCGTTACAACCACGCCACGTCTCGCGGCTTCACTTTCCAGGCAAGCTATCCGCTCCAAGAGCGTCGTCACGGCCCCCTTACGTGTGATCTCGTCGTCCTTGCCCCGCACGACGCCCTTCTCTCTCTCCGAGCGTGCGCAGACGGCGCCGGAGGCCTCGCGACATGGGGTGCAGACGGGTAGGATCCTATCGCAGCGTTGTTTCCGCCGCGCGCATCTCTCGCAGGCGAATAGACGCAGACGTAGCTCTCCGTCGGGGCCTGTCCGTAGCGTCGGCGCCGAGTCGACGGTGGTAGTGGCGGAGGGCGATGTCGAGAATGGTGTTGGGGCCATGTCGGAGCTGGGGCAGGGATGGGTTCGGACCCCTTTCCTGTCTGTAAGTCCTATGAGTTTGAGGTTGAATTATCTGCTCATTTACTCCATTCTTCTATTTCACTTCTATTCCATTCATTAGCCGAGCTTACAGTAACCGGTAAAGGCGGTCGCAACACGTCCGATGGCCTCGGCAATGTTTCCGGTCTAGACGGAGCTTAGCAGTCCAATTATTCCCCGCTTCCCACGCCCTACGCCCTACCAAAGGATGCAGCGATCAAAATACGAAGGGTATTATTCGAAGGATCAAAGCAACATCAGTTCCAACATCAGTGATGGTTTTACCAGTGGGCCTTCGGGAAGCTTGAAAGTGGTCGACGAGGAGACACAGTAGGATGATGACGAGGTCAATAGTTACATAGTAGCCATCTTTTCACATTCAAGTTGTAGCCAACAAAGACCCGGTCCAATCGCTCGTCACAAATTGATTAACATAGCCCAACTAACTTCCGTAACCATACAAATCACACTGGGACTCTTGTGAGCCGTGATCTTGACTCAATTCCATCAGCACCAGACATCGACATGTCCACAAATTCGCACACAAAAAGTCTAGCCAAGACGACCTTCAAGTCGTAAATAGCTTCGCCGCCCCAACACCGCCTGCCCTCTCCACAAGCTTCTTATTCGCCCTCGTGAGATCCCACTTCAGAAACCCGCACGAGAGGGCACTCAGCACCGCAAACACGACCAGCAAGATCATGGCCAGCACGTACCGCGGCTCGTCCCTCTCCCTGAAGAAGTACGGACTCGCCACGTTCCCCAGCTGCGCCAGCACGTTGATCATGCTCGTTGCCACGGCGCGCTTCTCGGGCGTCTGGTCCAGCATGCCCGCGGCCCACGAGTAGACGAGCCCGTTCGCCGCGAAGCAGCCCGCGACGTACAGGAAGGACGCGGCGTAGCGCGCGGGGGCGTTGAGAGTCGCTACCGAGATGACGAAGCCCACGGCGGCGGTGAGCATTGGTAATGCGATGTGCGTGGAGCGTTCGCCGCGGCGGTCGCTGGAACGGGAGATCAGAAGGGAGAGGAGCGCGCCGACGAGGAAGGGGGGCGCGGTGCAGAGGAGGGTTACGGTCGAGGAGCCGAAGTTGAAGCCTTGCACGATGGAAGGGTAGAAGTAGTTAAACCCGTAGGCGGCGTGGTTACAAATAAGCATGAAGACCTATCATTTCCATTAGTTAAGTAAATGTCAAAGAGTGTTCGGCAGTGAAGAGTCTAGGGATTCAACGCACGAAGACCCAAGTACGATAGTCCGAGACGGCGCGCCGCAGTCCCCACCAGACGGATCGGTTGTTTTCCTGGGGAATGCGCTCCATGGCAATCCTGTCGAGTGCAACGAGTCGTTCCTCCTGCGTAAGTAGCCACTTTTGGCTGCCGGTCGTCGATTCGGGGAAGTCTGGTAGAAGAACCATGGCGAGCAGTGCCAGGAGGAAGTTGACGCTGCCGATAATGATGTAGAGCCACTACAACACGGGATCAGAAGTCAGCACATATTTCGGAAAGACTCGAGGAGTCTCACGGCATGGTGGAAGAGAAGTAAGGGGAGAAGAAGTATGTACCCTCCAACCAGCGAGCCCCATCGCCTGGTCCAGTCGCGCAAACACACCGGCGGCGATGAGACCGGAGAAGGCCGTCGCCACCACGAGACCGGAATATAAAATCGCCATGCGGAGCCCAAGCTCGCGCTTAGTGTACCAGCACGAGAGCAGGTAGAATACGCCCGGGAAGAAGGGCGCCTCAGCGACACCGAGGACGCAGCGGACGGCCAGCAAGTGGCCGAAGTTGTCGACGCTGGCGGTGGCGGCGGAGACGGCGGACCATACGCAGGCCCAGAGAGGGAGGTAGATTGACGGCCGGACGCGGGTGAGAATCATGTTGCTGGGGATCTGCATTATCATGTAACTTGATAGGTAAAAGTCGTCTCGGTTAGCCTGAACGCCTTCATAGGTAACTTAATACGGTGGGGTGGAGGAGTGCAAAGTCGGAGGAGAGGAAGACTTACCCGACGTTCAAGAGCGATACTGACGTGCTGAACTGCTCTCCTGTGAGATTAAGATCCTTCATAATCGTGTTCAGCTTCGCCTGGCTGCAAAGTCTCTCGTTAGCAGTGAAACTCTCCTCAACAGAATAGCAGCAAGCATCACTCACGCGATCGCCGTCCGGTCGAGATAGTTGAACAAGTACAAAACCCAAATAATGGGCATCAACGTCATGTCCAGTTTGCGCACGAGGGACTTAGAAGCTCTGTGCCAGTTCTCGTCTCTGGTCGGCTCCATCTCCTCGCCGGCGACTTCCTTCGCCGCCGCGTCCGCAGTATCCATGTCGCCGGGGCTCTCCCGATGCTCGGCATAGGTAGGCTGCTTTTCGTGATCGCATAGAGAAGGACCCATTCTGAACAACGGAATACAATTGTCAGTTACGAAGTCGAAAGTGTTGATAGTCGAGATCGAGAACAAGTGAAAGGATCTCCCAGCTGGGCTGAGACAGCCCCTTTCTTATATAAGTCCATCCTTCTGAGGACTGAGGTACCTAGAGTCAATGTCGGTGTTCCGCACTAGATCATACTGGAGCCGCGAAATGGATTCCAGGCCTTTGGAGTCGACCCCAGGCTCATTCGTGCCAAGCGACCCTTGCACCAACCTGGAGTGATAATCTGGAGACCCCACGGGGGCAAAGCCGGCTCAGACAGCCTGCCAATCGCCTCACGACCGATGCTGTGTCGTGGGGCCGAAGCTGAATGGGCTCAGGCTGCATTTCAGTGCCGGGCAATGCTGCACCACTCACGTTCCGTCCGCGCAATGTGTCCGACGAGATACACGGATACGGGTAGACGGACGAGCTTGTCACAAAGGCCGCACGTAGAAACTAGTTCATCGAATATATCGGTACACGGATTTCACAGTAAAAACGTGTACATCATTCAATCAGTACCTATGCTTGCAGTGGGTTATGTTATGTTAGCTCTTCCAAGGGCATTCGCGTGAGAGTATGTGAACGCGGTTGACTGGTTAGCTGGTTTGTACGTTGACCCAAGTTATTTTGTAAATGAGAGAAAAGCAAACCCTCTTTTCTAAGCTTTTCTAAAAGTATATCGAGGTGTGAGTTGTACGCTATATAAGTCTGATATCTGACTCAACGCAATGAACAACGAGCAGAACTTCTATCCATCTAAGCATCCACCTTCCTCGGCTTCAAGTAGACGTTCAAATCCCCCTTCAACCATAACGTGTAAACCTCTTCCTCATCGAACCACTTCTTCGAGTCCTCCGCGAGGGTCATGTCAAAGTTCCAAAGGACCCTGGCCAGAATGATGCGCATCTCAACGTACGCCAGGCTGGATTATTGCTGGTCAGTCCAACCCCCTCAAAGTTTCCGGTCACGACATCGTTGCCGAGGATGAGCGAGAGACTTACTTCTTGCCGATGCAGTTCCTCGGCCCATACGAAAACGGCTGCAGCGCATCCCTCTTATCATCGACAAACCGCGGATCACCGAGCCAACGCTCCGGGATGAACTCGTCGCACAGCGCAAAGTTCTTCGGGTCGCGGAACGTAGCGTAATGCCACACGCCAATGCTAGTCTGTAAAGAAACTCTCATCAGTTCTCACCACTCTCACAATGAAATCTCTCTCAGGGTGGCAACATGACTTACCCCGTGAGGAACGAACTTGCCGCAGATGACGTCCCCGCCGTCGCACACGCGCCGCAGGTTCGCGACGGGCGAGGGCGGGTGCATGCGCAGCGTCTCGTCCAATACGGCGAGCATGTACTCGAGCTTCTGGACGCTGACGAAGTCGATCTCGGCCTCGGTCGCGAACGAGCCCCGCACCTCGGCGACCAGCTTCGCCAGCACGTCCGGGTTCGTCGTGAGGAGGAACGTCGCGGCCGAGAGGGCCGTCGCCGTGGTCTCGGACCCGGCACCGATCAGGAGGGCGGCGTTTTCGTACATTTCTTCCCTGTTCATGGTCTTTCACATCGTCTTGTCAGCACCAGATCAACATCAGACCAGAAATCACCAGCAGCACGCGAAGGCCCCGTGGTTTTCCGAGACGAAGAAAAGCACTCACCAGGTCCCCCTTCATGGTCATGGCCTGTATGAAATCAGGCCTCTCCATCCCCAGCGCAAGCCTCTTGTCGACCTTGGCATGCGTCAAATCCGTATGCTCCTGCGCCTTCCTCCTCACCGACTCGGGAATCATCAACTTCAGCAACGGCGCGAACAGCGCGTACCGCCCGATCAGCCCCATCAGCGCGTTCTGCTTCACCGCGCCGAAGATGGCCGACACCCAGGGGTGGTAGTCGCTGTTCTGCAGACACCCGAACGGCTCCCCGAACGCCAGGTCCGAGATGATGTCGAACGTGCACCAGTTGTACCAGCTGACCATGTCGAGCTTCCGCGTCCCGCCCGCCGCGTTCTCGCGCAGCCGCTCGACCAGGAGGTCGACGTACTGCGTGATGAGCGGCTGCTGGTTCATCATGGCCTGCGCGGAGAAGCCGTGGGAGAGCAGCCGGCGGAAGCGGCGGTGGTCGTCGCGGTCGGCGCCGATGATGTTGCCCTTGAAGGGGGCGTGGAAGACGGGGTCTTTGACGTGCTCGGCCTGGCCCTGCTTGCGGTGGCCGAAGATGTCCTTCCAGGCGTTCGGGTCGGTGAAGGAGAGCTGGGTCGGGGTGATGCGGACGACGGGGCCGTATTGGGCGTGGAGGGCCGCGATGCGTTTGTGGGGTTGGCCGGTGGTGATCATGTGGGCGTAGAAGAGGTCGGTGGCGGCGGCCAGCTTGGGGCCTGGGTAGTGGCGGAGGGGGTGGAAGAAGAGGTTGTATATCACTCGTGCGAAGGCATAGCCGACGGGCTACGTGTGATGTCGTGTTAGCAGGTGGCATGCTTAGGGTAAGGCTAGAATGTGACGTACCAAGAGGATGAGGGAAAGGAGGAGGGTCTTTCCTGTGAGTCCATGGCTGATGCCATCAGCCACGGGAAAGCTGATGGAGGGCATGGTGGGAAAAGCCTAGTGGCCAGGTGTGTGTGTCAGAGTAACTTGAGTGATATCAGACGAGTAAAGCGTAGAGACAGAATAGCAAGCCCCTACTCCTTACAGGTCACACCCGAGTTTATATCATCCAATACCCTTCACCCCAACATAATCCAGGCGGCATCAAAAGCATCGGATGACAGGAGGACACCGACTCGGCACTTCCAACTGCACACGACGGGCCGAACCGTGCGCTGGTTATCGTGATCCCAATGTCCGTCTTGGCAGATTCACGACATTACAAAAACCACTGACGAGACGGTATTTGCAAGCACTTTCCGTCCGCGAGCAAAATCCCTAAGCCGTAGATCCATGCTCGTCAATCTGGGGGGCGGGATCTGTGCCGCCTTGCCGCCATCGATCGGGGCCGGCGCGGCGGATGCTTTTTCTGGCCCGGGATAGCATCCGCTTACAAATATGAGCACAACGGACCGTTGAAGCAGAGAGAGAGCGCCTAGTTCCAACCCGAATACGCCGTCTCCGATGTGGAGACGTCCCGGAGGTCGATTCCGGGAGAGTCCACCCCCACCACCCCGATCAATGACGACAACTCTAAAATACGGGGTTTCGTGAACGTTCTTGGCTTCGGGAGATAGCCAAACTGGAATTCCGTCACTCACCGTCAGCAATTACATAGTAATCTGGTCTGCAGGTTTCGAGCAATTTGTTGTGTGTTCAGGGTAGGCCAACGAGGCTCCTCCTCAAAGCTTGCCATAAAATACGTCAGCCATACTGGACCGTGAAGCGAATTGTAGCCAAGACTCTTTGCATTAGCTTATGTCTATCTCTAAATCTTTCATGCGTCTGTCTATATCGCTGATTCTTTATGCTGTTTGTCGACTGTCTGTCGCCGTCTGTTGCTGTACACCTTGATACTCAAGGCGCCGATCCAAAAAGAAAGTCCCATACTCCAGAGCAAACTTTATGCCTTCAACGCCCTAACAAAAACAAAACCGATTCAAACCTGTTTTCCTGTTTCCTGTTTCCCATCCACCTTGGTCGCTCCTTCGCAATGCTTCCCACTCTCCAACTACCGTAAAACCAAGTACAAATGAAATTCTATCTTCTCAAGGCGAGGTGTAATGCAGCAAAGCCACCACAGATACTTGATCTTGAGGCCTGAAGGATTGTATGTGATGCCATTCCGAGCCGTATGTAGCCGTCCAAGGCACAGCACCTCTAAACCCAGCGGCTCTCAATGAAATAGAGCCAGGTCTAGAAGCTGAGCAATCCGCTCCGCCTCTTGCCGAGCGGGTAAACCATGAGTGCGCTGAGGAACAGACCAACAGTAATACCAATCGCAACCTGAATGACGCTCAGAAGAACATTAAACGCCGAGTTGTTGAGGCTGGATGTGTCCACGGTACTCGAAGTTCCATTGTTATTGGTGATCTGGTCCGCTGATGTCACACCAGCAAGAAGAGATCCGCCTGCCGCGAGACCACTAGGCACTTGAACGAAAATAGCGGGCAACATGGCCGCAGCTGCCAGACCATATCCGATAGTGCGTTGCCGTTGAGGCTTGCCCTCGTCTGTTGGCTTTTCTGAAAAGGCTTCGGATGTCGGTGTCGCAGGCGTGGACTCGGGAGTATGCGTTCCACTGCCGCCAGATTGACCAGACATCTGGTACATGTCCGGACGAGGTCGCTCGTTTCGGCGACGGCTGGCGCTGACGAACCTCGGCTTGACCCGATCGTCAAACCAGTCGAGAAAGTCGAGAGAAAGGTTTCGAGCGTGGCGGCCCAGGCGAGAATAGAGATTAGCTAGTAGCCCAACCGTGAGAGCGCCAAGCATGTTGGAGATTTGCGGGTTGCCCACAAAGAAATCGGACGAGTAGTTGTTGACGAGAAACCCGGCGAGGGAGATGGTGATCATGACTGGCATCTGCTTCCACTTTGCCTGGTTGATGATGCAGAGACACAGGGTGAATGCTGGAACGAACAGCAAATACCACTGCCTATTGAGGGATCCTTCGCAGGTCGTCCGCGACTCGGCATGTCTGTCGATCATACCGTAAAGAGCAGTTCCGATTGTTGTTCCATAGCCGAGGAATAGAGTATAGATCATGGCGTAGACCATACGCACGCTGCCGGCGACCAGATTATGACTCTGGAGTTCCAAGCTACTACAAAGAACCATGTAACCGGGCAGAATAAGCGCGATGGAGCTCTGCGCCAAGGCTGAGAAGCAGAAGAGGCCGCCGTTGTCGATGGAGCCAAACATGCGAGCCAGGAAAGAAGTAACGATAGAGGCGGTGATTTCGAAAACATTGGCATACAACTCGTTCTGTGGAGCCAAAACCAGCTGCATGCATCCGACGATACATCCGAGAATGAAGGCGATGGGCAGATCGATGAAGCGGCCTTGGAAGGCAAAGGGGGCGACACTCGCGCTGGCGAAGCCGTAGACGATGACTCGCAACCAGACGGGGTATTTGGCCTTGTGGTTCGTGATTGTATCCAACATGATGATCGCCTCGTCGACACTGATGAGATCGTGGACGACCTGCTTATAGACGTCGTGAACATCGCGAAGCTTGCCCAAGTCGACACCATGGGGAGACCGCACGATCTTGACTTCGGTGGTGTGGGTGGCGCTATCATCGAAACTAATGATCATGCAACCTGGAATGTAGAGGAATTGTCCCTCGATCTCGAGGACACGAGACGACATCTTCATGTACTCCTCAAGGCGATGGGTAGGAGCACCGTACATCATCAGAGCTCGACAAAGCTTGACAAGGTACTTGTGCCTTGAGAGGATCTGGGCAATGTGCTTCGTGATGCGGATCTTATCCTCCGACTTGGACTTGGGCGATGATGTGCCCCAGCCGGACTTGCGCTTCTTCCCCTTCGGCGCTTCTTGCTTGATCTTCTGCGTCATACCAGCCGAGTACCCGCTGGAGCCGGGCGCCATCATTGCGGAGGACGACTTAAGCAGCTCCGTCAGAGCCATGGAGGACCTAGATCCTTGAGCCTTGTGGTAACTGAAAAGGCCGCTTGTTGGTCGGGAGGGGGCGGGTGACGCCGGGGCCGACGGCGGTGCGGAGTTGGGAGCGGAGGGCGGTGCGGAGGCGGGCACGGATCCGGGCGGGGAATGGTTCGGAGTGGTGCCGCCGCCGGGGGTGTTGCGACCACTGCTGCCGCCGCTGCCATTCTCATTGTAGAGCTTGAGCAGCGACGAGAGAATGCCACCGTGGTACTGCTTTGGCGGGGGGACGTAATCGTGAGCGTAGGACTGCTCCAACGTCGGGGTGGCCGTTCCCGATCGGCCACCAGGTGGCGCCTGGTGCTTGAAGTAGTCGTTGGGGCCCTTATTCCCCTTCTTCAGTCGCTGGGTGTGCGAGCGAACCAGGTTCTCTGCCGCCAGCTGGGAGTTCTTCCTTGGACGAGACCGAACTTTGCGGCGAGCTTCTTGCGATCCGTCGACACCGGAACTGAGACCTCCAACACGATCGAGATCCTCATCAGTCTCATCGTTAAAGGGATTGTGGGGATTCGGCATGTCCAGAGAGCCACGGCGGGAGGGCGGCGACGAGTAGTTCTCGATGCTGACTGCGAGTCTGTCGGCGCGCTGTCGTGCCTCCAGCCCGGATCGCTGCTGTCGTTCACCGGCAGTGCGCTCGGCAGCGTCGGCCTTCTCTCTCTCCTCGGGGGCGTCATAACTAGTGTTGCGGCGCAAGACGGGCCTAGGTCTACGAGGCGTGTCTGACGCTGCGGCCTCCTGGTTCTCCTCTGAGATGAGAACTTGGGTTAGAGCTCGACGCAGCTCACTCGCGTCAGGGGCGCCCTCAGGAACATCTCGTCTGGGAGTAGCGAACGGGTTAGAGTCGGGGCCCTCGGGCGACATGTTTTGCGAGAAGTAGTCGTTGTCGATAACAATGCTGGGTGGCCTGTCGTCGCCCTGAAAGCCTACACGCTTCTTTTCCTTCCTAGCTGAAGGCGTGGCAGACTGCGGGTGTAGCAGAGGAGGCGTCTGAAGCTTTTGCTCTTGTTGAGGCTGCGGCGGTTGAGGTGGTGAGGGGTCTGCGAACGGAGAGTGCGAGGGCTGGGGAGAATCATTCGAGCTGGTGTTGTTGGAGCTCGACGGCCCCGGATCCTGATTCGACCCCGACATGGTGCCGAAAGAAGAAAGTGATCGCCAGCGGGCTGGCCGATAGAAGTCGGACGCGCTGTCCTCGGGTCAAGATACCTTGAGTAACGGTACACAAATAGGTTCAAATAGATTGACGTTGTTGTGGATGTGGATAATTGGAACTGCTGGCGAGAGAGTGACGTTCTGTGGTTCGATGGCAGAGTCGCTCGGGAGTGTGCGTGATATCAAATGTCGTCGTCGTTCTCGTCTCGATTTCGCTTGATGAATGTTCAGTGGACTTCGCGGCGGTAACGGTTACGGTCAGGAAGGGCAAACATCGTGTGAGGGAAAAAGAGAATGGAACAGAGATCTGGTAGGTCGGATCGAAGAACACACGAAGGTAGGTTGGTAGGAGGGGAGGAGGGGGAGATCAATGGAGACCGGAGAACTGGAAACAGGCGGAAGCGGCGGAGAGACGGGACGTAATGAATGGCAAAAAAAGAAGAAGGGAAGGGACGGATGGAGACGACGAGGAGTCGAGAATGTGACTTGAGGAGGAGCACAGGACTTGTTGGACGTGGATATGGACGGGATCATGGACGTGGATGGAGCGAGCGACCCCGACCGGCCGGCTTGGAAGCTCCTCCCGTCTCCACGGGCCTTGCTTGGTGTTTTCTGCGTCTGCGGAAAGGACCCAGTTGCTCTTTCTCCTAGGAAAATGAAAATCTGCTAGGAAATTGGCGGTGCCGGACCGCATTCTGCTTATCACGCAAGAAACCGATGGACCATGGCCGGTGAGGTAGGTGGTGGACTCGCAAGTGACTGTTTGGCAGCGTTGAACCATGTCGATGTCGGACTTGCAGCGCCGTCTCCATCGTGATTCTCCATAGGCCACGCCCGCGAGCTTCGAGTCCACGCCCCAAAGTCCAAATCGATATCCATAGAGTGCCCACAATCCACGCCAAAGCCCTGTCGACGCAAGGTCTCGTCCTGTTCTTGGCCTGCCTTGCCAGTCATGGGCGTGGCCAAAGGCAAAGGCAAATGGTAAAGGAGGGGCGGACGGGCTCGGGCTGGCGGGGCGAGAAAGAAAGATTCAGTGAGGAAGAAAAAAACACGAGGGTCCACAGCAAGCGTCAGAGAGAAGTGGAGAGAATTGACGATGGTGGTTGAACTTTGTGCTTGCTGGCTGCCGGTGAGTGAAGTGTTGTGTGTGACTGAGTAACGGAGTTGACGCGGTTTGAATTGGTGAAAATGATTAGCCCGAGTACACGGCGATAGGAGGGAAGATGGAGGGAAGTAAAGGTACGTACAGAGATATCAACGATGTACGTATTTACAAAGATACTCGGATGAAATGACACGTACCGACGTGTTCCTGATACACCACAGCAACTTTTAGAACGGTACGTATTCAAGTGCCAGAATGGCTTTCCTTGCCGCCAGAAATGGGATTGTTGCTAGAAACATTGGGTCTTTCCGTGGAAACCCCTATCGAAGACGCCTATCACGTTCAGAGATATCATCAAACAGTGGATGAGATGTGAATCATAAGCAAGGTAGCTGTTGAGAATGGCCATTCTGACTGGCTGGTGGCCAACTCTGCAGCATGGTTTTCAATCCGAATTCCATGCGAAAGCGGCTGCTTTGAGGCGTCTATTCGGACGATCAACGATGAACCCCCAATTCTTTTCCCCTTGATCACTCACCCCTCTACCCCTCGACCAAGTACACAACATGTCTCGTCCACGCCGTGTACCTTACAGTGGCCCCCGTGCCCCCATGCCACGCCATCAGAACACCCTGCGCTGAGCCAAGTGAAGCTCTGCTGAGCTGTCCGCACCATGAGCGCTCATCATTGCCTCTTCTCACCACCTTCAGACCATCAATCGCTATTAGCGCCGTCATGTCCGCGTACACGTGCCTCGCCCAAGACATGCTGTGGAATCGCTGTCGTGTAATTCAGTCGTGGCAGAAGCTGCCCTCACCTGAGGTGAACCGCAGCTCGGCATCACAGATACGAGGCATGAGACGATACAGTGCTGATGCGAAGTGGGCTGCACACAGCACGCGCATCAATCCTTCAGCATTACCCAGTGTTCTGACCTCAAGATAGCTCAGCTCAGGTCCCATACGCAATGCGACATGAAGGGTTCCCCGACACCTCCTGAGAGGGCTGAGCTCAGCTGGAAGAAGCCCGGTTCCTTGTCCAATAACCGCCACGAATAGGGATTACAAACACTCTCTCGCCGCGACGGAGATATTCGCAGAGGCTCCCCTTTAATCAAGCCGCGGTAGCCCTGTCGGGGAACCGAAAAAGTTAGCAGAAGCCAAGCCAATGCCCGTCCATCCCAACTCTTCCGCGTTCATGTTCACCCGCCGGTGCGGCGGTTGTAGTTCCTCAACAAACGGCCGCCCGGCGGGATCTGGGCACTAAAACCGTCGAACCCGTCGCCGGTGTCATCGACGGATGCGCTAAGTAAGGGGTGTGACGGCGAGAAAGAAGAGGGTGTGAAGACCCGGGCGGCTCAGATAGCAGGCGGGCAGGCAGATATTGAGTGATACGCTAGATGCCATCTCGCATGCGAACCGCTGCTTCGTAGGGCCGATTCAGATAACGACATTGCCGTTCGCCTTTCGCCATTCGGCCCTTGTTGCAATTTTCACTTGGTTTTTTCGCTGATTTTTCCACTGGTTTTCAACGCCACTCTCTCACTCACCACTCATCAATCATGTCGCGCACTTTTCCTCACTCATCTTGTCACTCATACTCTCACAAATTTGTCAAGTTCTCAGTCCACGACTCTGCCATGTGTCATAGTATCATCCCGTTCCGTTTCACGCAACACAACACTGCAGATGAAAACCGTCCAGATTGTCATCTTCGCATGACTCTCGCCAGCCAAGATGCCAATCGCCTCTCACCCCTGCGTAGTCCTCTGGGCCTTCACCATTCAATCAGGGCATTCCCCTGGCCTGCTCCCAGGGCCAAGGGGCCCCTGGTGGCGCAGCCGATCTCAGTCTTCCCGGGCCCAACATCCGAGCCATTCACGCAGAAAGTATTCGTGCTGTACCTCGACAACACACACGCCCTTTTCTTTTCTTCTCTGCCCGCCTGGGTCCCGAACCACCGGTGCAGCGGTAGCGAACGAAACCTGGCTGGACAAGCCGCAAGCCGCATTCTGGGCTGCGAGACATGACGTACCATGTAGCATCACCCTTCCCACCATCCCGTCCAGCCAACCTGTTTTCCTTTCAGACGGCCGTGGCCGTTTCTATCTTGGGGGCGTGCGTGATTGGGCCTGACAACACTTTCTTCGAGACAACGCCTCGGGAGGCTCTGCAGCTCGTGTCTCACTGGACAACCAAGACCGAACGTCCTCGAACATGCTCAACGACGTAACACGCAGACAAGGAGACACGGCGACCCCCACTATCACATGAACGCATCAAACACAAACCTTGGAAATCGTGATCCCACACTGAGTTCAGCCCCCATGAATACCATCTCCCTACGCTGCAGAGTGCCGGAACTCACTCCAGCGGGATGCCGGGAACCTGCTGGCCGTCGCCCGTCGCCCGTCGATGTCACCGCCGTCCACTGATCCGATCGTCGTCTTGGCCTCGCTGTCCCGTCGACACCGGACCACTTTTACCACTCTATCATACCTTTCACCAACGGCCGCGTAACGCCCGTATTCTCGTTTCTATCCTGAGCGAGGCTGTGACGGCGCGTCCGTCCACAACCAACTGACGGGACGGACGAGCTGTGTACACTTCCCCTTATCCACCGCACGAGCATCTGATGCGGCCTCCCACCGCGTCGGTGCGACGAGCGTCCGTCAATCACGCCGCACCAACGCTAGATTGCCAATCTCATTCAAACATCGTCGAGTCCGTCACTCCCGTGCCGCCCGGGACGCCGGAGCCGGACAGTTCACTGATGGGCCAGTGGCCAACCACCGACCGCACACCCATCACGAATCACTCGCACCTCCACCGGGATCCTCCCTCCCTCCAAAACAGTTTCGAACTGTTGCTGCATAGTCGGTTTGTCGGGTTCTAGACCGCAGAGCAGCCGCACAGAAGTGGTCCCTCTTTCTCCCCAAGTCCGCGACCAAAAGCTGATGCCAAACGTTCCGTGAGATCCTCAATCGTGCTCCAGAGAACAACTCTCCACCGAGGAGTGGACTTATCGACCGTTCCAGCTTGTGTCTCGCTCCTCCGCGTGATAACCAAAACTGAGTGCCCCTCGCCCTCGTCCCTCCCGAGCCCCGTCTACACTTTGACCCCTCCCCTCGGTATACCCAAAGCGGAAGTCCCGAGCCTCGAAGCTCCATAGTTTTGCTCCTCGTCCATTTTCTCAAGTCACGATGCGGGAAGGTGGGAGTCTTCTCACAATGGAAATTCACCACTTTCTAAACTTCTCAGCCCATCAATTCCCTGCGACATCTCGCCCCTCCGCATCCTTTTTTCCCCCTCTCCGCCCTCACAAAATCCCATTAAGCTGGATTCGGTACGGAGAGCCGAGCAGGAATGGAGATTGTGGCAGCTCTGCAGCTGGAGGTTCCATCCGCCAAGGGGTGACACCGCGGGCGGATCCGAAGGGCTTCCAACTGCCTCTTTGTCGAGTTGGTGAGATTTGAAATTTCAAATCTGACTCCGATTGTTGAAATTTTTCTCTGTTCGTCCTCATGATCGTGAAATCCGCACTTCAATCACCTCCGGCGATAGTCCGTACGTAGACTAACTAGGTCCCCCGAGTCGTTCCGGCCCAATCCTGGTCCACATATCACACAAAAGGTGAACCACACCCTTCGACACACCCTGCGCAGCTCCTATCAAGGGCCTGGGCATGATGTGCGCATGGGATATCTACAGGGGCATCTAGAAGGACTTTTTTTCATCTCTGCTTCGGGACGAAGAGCTCCCTGGACGGTGGAACACTTCCAAATCTTACCTTATCTGAAAGACGGGTCCCGCACAAGCAAGAGAAAGGACAAAAACGAAGCGAGAGGGAAAAAAACATCTCCAAAAATAAGATGAGACTTTCATCTGATCGGCCAGCCTCAAGCTCATCCTGTCACGGCCGACGAAACAGAGGCGGTATCGGGGCCACGCTGCGGTTCTTCCGTTGGCCGGCGACGGAAGTCGCAGCCGGTCTAGAATCACCTCCGCTCTGAGTCTGTTGTTTCTTGCTCTTGTTTTCTGCCCGATCCCATGCATGACGGGAGGATTCCGACGATTTCTTGCAACCCAACGAAGCGGATGCGTCCGCTAAGCTTTTTCTGCGCGTTTTTTTCGAAGCCTGCCCCCCTGACTTGTCATCGGGCCTTTGGACGACTTACCCGAAAAGTTTATCATGAAACGAGCGCTGCGCTGGGCGAAGGTTTGGACTTTTGGGGGCTGTTTGAGGGCGTGACGCGGTTTGATGAGATACGAGCACGAGGTTGACAGATGTTGGCTCGGTGACAGTGAGGATCATGTTTACGGCCCTGTTGGTTGTTGAGGACGTTTTTGCAGAGGGCGTTGACTCGTGATACTGACAAATTTCCACGGCACACTATCATGAGCATTCGACACTGCATTATGGGAAACACCACCGCCAGCAAATCACATGTAAAATCCTGACGAGTTTTCCTCGACGCGCGTCGACCTCGCGCCTCAGACCTGGAAAGCTTCCTCAGCTTCCTACGCCACGCCGCCGCCTCTGGCCCAGCCAGTCTCTCGAGCCCGACATCCGGGACTCACTGTCGCGATGCATGCAAGACGAATGCAGAGCCCGGATCAAGACTCTCGCGCGCTGTGGCAAGGGTCGGCGGTTATGCTTGTCCATCCATGACACGTGGGCCGGCATCTATCACCGTGATGGCCCTCTCAGATGCAACCGGACCCCCACGCCGCGGGCAGCTCGCCGCCATGCCGGCCGGCGGGGGATCCACACGATTGATATCCAGGAACATTATGCTTTGTTCTTTTTTTTGGCTCTTTTTTCTGAACTCCCTTCACTCCCTTTTTTTTCTCTCTCCCTCGAAGACGCACAAGGGCGAAGGAGTGTGGTGTGCTGATACCACATCGCGTCTCTTGGCCGTGCTTGGGGGGCTGTGTCATGACCGACCCTCTCTCATTTCATTTTCCCTTGGTGTTTGCGCCAGGCCGTCCTCTCGGGTAGGGCACACCGCTCCCGTGGTATCATGGGTGGCTCAAATGAAGCCATCGTGAAATCCTCACATCAAGGTTTTCTCAGACAAAGGCAGCCGTGGACGAGGGCAAGAAGAAAAATGTGACAGGTCATGCTGGTGAGGAGCGAGGGGCAGATGACATGTTTGATGAACGACAGGCCAGAGCCGCAAACACTTACACGCCCCCCCCATGCCCGTGACGCCTACAGATTCGACACTTGGTAATCTCTTCATTGCGGCCCAACGGGACATGGATGGTGGCGCCCTTTTTTGCCTCCCTTGGTGGCGGTAAGGCTTGTTCACGATGCCCCGGCGGTGGTGTTTTTTTTTCGCAGGACGCGGCGGACGGGGTCAAAGACCTGGCAGTGGATCTGCTCGGGGAATTTCTCATTTCGGCGGCCCCATCGAACATTCTCCCGCGTGGATATGGTCAAAGGGCTTTGGTGGAAAGGAGGTGAATGCTACATTACCGTGGTGACGATGATGTTTCTAAATTGGTTTGGAAGCTTGTATCTTCTTGTTTTTTTCTCGTGTGCGTGTCCAAGAATTCCAATGCTGATGTTCGGCTTATGAGGAGTACTCACGATGGGGGCTGTGTTTGGGAAATCGACTTACATTGCTACATTAAATCAAGATGTAGACGAGATCGCGATACCCACCAGAGTAGATGCGTGAGCGGCAATATGAGGGGCTCTTGTGGGAAAGTTGAAGATCAAAGGAGGGGAACACAGCATGAGGATAACGATTGACAGGAGACGAAAGGAGAGAAGGGAGATCGTCGGCGGCGACGGTGGACACTGCCACGACAACAGTGCTCCTGTGGAAACTCCTGACTCCATAGAAACGCAGGCGATAGGTTCAAAAGTGAGAGGTGAAGCATCACATGCCAGGTTGGCAGTCTAGTTACCTTCGTTCTACAAACCGACTTGGTGATCATCGGGATCGAGAAGAAGGTGATTCGAGACCGCCACTTGGCTGCTTCTTCTGTGATCAAACAAACGAAGAACTCACGATTAGGTAGCTGGCTGGAGTTCGAAGCTGTCCAATCTTCTATTAATAGCAGCAATTGCTTAGTCCCGTGAACGCAACGTCGGCTTCGCCATCTGCAGCACGATCATTGGTATGCTGCAAAACTCGGTCTGTCCAACTCAGATACACACAAGACTCACCGCCTGCAGTGATTGTTGTCTTGACTAAGCATGTAAGACATGAGATCTCATGGTTTCTATGCGAAGACTTATGTGCTGGAAACGTTGAGTGAACAAATCGGCCAGGGCATGTGCGTGAGTTGCTCTGGAAGCTTGACGTCGAGTGGTTGACTGATGCCTCGTACCTTTCAACCAACTAACGTTGCCATCACCCTTCTTCAAGCTCCAAGCAGTTAGAGATCCCCTGTCTCATTAGCTTGTTGTTCAAAGATATGTATTAGTCTCTGACAGTCCTTTGCACGTGTTTTTCTCCCTGATCCATTGATTGGGTTGGTCGAAAATGAGATCATGCAATTAGGATACGTTTGTATGGGAGACGCTCTGATTTTAGTAATAAACCATCTAATAATGTCTCCTCGATCTGACAATGCCTTGAACATATATATATACATGTTCGTTCGGTCTACATCGATCATCAAACTCTTTCCACGGCCCGAACTGCCTCTGCCCGCGCCAAGAACTCGCGCATCACGTTTTCCGTGATTCTAGCCACGTCGTTCTGGTACGAGTTAAAGGCCATTGAGTTGTTCCAGTTGATACTGCCCACACTAAACACATTGCCCAAGTTCCTGGTCTGGTAGTAGATGATATCGCTGCGCACGAGAGAAGAGGTATGACCCAGCGTGCCGATCATAGGAAAAATCAGCTCCTCGTTAAAGAGCATGAATTGCTCGTTGTGACGCGAGCTCGTGGCAAGAATGACGGCGTCTTTGGGGGACCCGATTCCCACATCGTATCGATCCAGCTCATCGCCCGAGGCGCATCCGTGTAGACCCGTGGTCCCGAACACCTTCTTGGCTTCGTCGCTGAAACCCTTCCAGACCCATGCCAGAGATGGATCTTTGAGGGCGTCCTGGTTGGGTATGAACGGTTGCCCCGGGCCTTTGCCAGAAGCACAAGATCCAACGCCAAACAGCACGTTCGGGGGCCGACCTAATGAGCGCCATAGACCGCCCAAAGTGCCGTCAATCGAATGGACTCGCTCTCCGCTGGGATTCTCGTGAGTGCGCGCCCCGACATCTGCACGACGGACTTCCATCCTGTGGGGTCGCTTCGGATCCGTGACAGACTTCCAGTAGAAGCCGTTACCACCAGTATACATGATTGAGCCGCCCATCTGAGTGAACTTCTCGTAGGCGTCTAGAGTTTGATAGGAAGGGTACTCGGGGTGGCAGCCAGTGATCACAATATCGTAGGTCGCGAGGGCTGCAGCGCCACGAAGGTGTAGATCATGGTCGGTAAGGATGTCATAGCCATCACCAAACAACTTCTCCAGGAAACCAACCATGAGAAGATCTTCAGAGAACTCACGGGGTCTTTGAAAGCCCCAGTGAATGTAGTCTGGACGCATGTTCAGAATCGGTCGCTTCGAGGTGGAATAGACGACGCCGTGGCCGTCGCTGTGCAGGTCATATATGGCAAGACCCAGATCAGTGCGACGCACCATCTTGTGGTAGTTCTCAGACGCCACCAGCTGGACACCTTCAGGGAAAGAGATGTGTGTCGACTTGGTCTCATCAAACATGTGCTCGTTGGCATATGCCAGATATGTCATGGTTGAGAAAATGAAGCAGAGTCTGGCCTGGGGCCTGACTTGCTTGGGTCGCACAAAGAAGACGATGGAATCCTTGAGGTTGGACTCCACATCAGTCACCTCTATGGCGTAGGCACCAGAGCGTAGGTGTTCTGGGACTTCAAAGTTGAAATCCTCGTCCCAGCGTGCATCGTCCAAGTCATCTTCATGGAAATGTATGGCACCATAGCCGTATGAAGCTTCCTTCCAGCTCTTGCCGATTAGCCTTGTATCCCAGTCATGGCCGCGGACAGCTCTAGTGGGAGCGTTGATAAGGATTCCATCCAGGCCCGAGCCGGATTTGTCGAAGATTTCGTCTGTGTCGATGCCAATGGAGAAGTCGTAAGTCGCGACCGGCCAGTCAACGCGGCCTAACGCAGTGAACCGCGGTGAATCCAGCCGACCGCTGAAGAAATGGATCGGTTTATCGTGACTGCTTGTGGGGTTCGCGGCATATGTGGCCGCGAAGAGCAGAGGGCTCCCGGACTCAAGCGCAGGTGAGCGACTCAAGGTTGTTGAAAAGCTTGTTGGGCTTGGGACGGCCTCATTTTGATGGGGAACATGCTTGATCTCGGCGGACACCCGTTTCCCACTCACAGTGAGGGTGGTATGAAACCAGCGCTCACGGTGAGGTTCGAAGGCTACGCGGACGGTCTCGACCCTTGTGCCAGTGCCGATCCATAGTATCAGATCGTTCTCTACGCCCAAGAGAACCGCCAAGCCGGCGTTTTTCTTTGTATCAAGGGTCGAGAGTAGAGCTTGCGGGTACTTGCAATCCAACAGCCATGGCTGGGTGTAGAATTCGACCGTCAACCCTTCAGCATTTGCTAGGATTGGTCCACGCTCCCAAGCCTTGACAATACCATAAGAGCCAGGATGAGCGCATTGGAACCGTCCATTGAGTGTTCCAGTCGGTCCATCCTTGATGACCTCTTTTTCAGGTGCAGGGGCATCTGGCATGTCAAGCCCTTGCAGCAGACGAACGAGTTGATATTTGATGTTAGGCTTCGTGGACGAAATCTAGTAATCATGTCAGGACTGAGAAACATGCGGGAAGTGTCATATGAAATTTTTGGAAGGATAATGAACTTACTTTGACGCTGGCTCGTTCGCCTGGAGAGACAACCCATGGCTCAACGTAGCCAGTGATCTCGTCCTCGGATACTTTGAGATCAGGACGAACTGAATACTTCTCCATGTTGTTTCGTAACCTGGATTGCGACTGTAATGAGTGAGAATGTGAAATGAGCAAATAGGTAATGATGTAGTCTTCGATTCTGCCCAAGTTCAGAATGGATCAATGACTCAAGACATGAAGCAATGGCTTTCCATTTGATATATGGATCACGGGTAACTTCTCATGTGCAAGGGTCAATCGGACGAGCGGAATCTTGGATCAAGGAGAGTGATATTGATGATGCGCTGGGCGGTATGTGAACTCTGCACTCTCACATCTCCCAGATAGGAGAAAGGGCGGCTCATGTTAGAATCGCCATGCTCGGAACACACCAATGATAGCTCCCCGCATCGTCATGCGGATGGCGTTAGGCTTGATTAGGAGATTCAGAAACGAGGTAGGTTGCTTGCAGAGTTCCCGAAATTGGAGAAGTTGTTTTACTGGGCTGACTGGGTTGGAATCCTTATCTCTTGGGAGTTATGAGGGGGTAGCTTCGCACATCATGCAGGGGCATGAACTACTGTGCATCGAGTGATCAAGTGACCAAATAATAAGCCTTTCCCCTATGTTTTATCGGAAACGTTCATCCTACGAGCGGCCACCGACCACCAAAAGGTGAGTAGTGGAATCTGAGAGCTTTGGTGATGTCAAAGGCATATATGGTGAGTAGGCCCTAGTCCGCGAATCACAAGAACCTGGCAGAACGAGAGACGCCACGATCGAGCTTCCTAAACATCCCTGTCGTCAAGTTGATCGCTTTCACTTCAAGACACGTGAGATACGTAGGAAACTTTATCAACGATGTCATTCTTTTCTCCAGACACAGAGATATCCTGCCTATCATTGCCAAGGGGCCCCCAAGTGTCGGGCGACCGGAACTTCCTTGAGAAGCTTAATGAATTGGAGCTCATCGTTTAGTACATATTTCAATCAAAATCCTGTATCTGCTAAGTATGGCCTGATCCTCACGTCAAATGATCGTTGCAAGACATTCTCTTTACTAGGAAATCTTTCCATCCGCTGCTGTTGTCCCATACATCGTTTTCTTGTCCCAGTCTTTTGTTCCCGATGCCGTCTTCAACAGAGGATACGTCACGACAGACTAGAGAGGTCGAAAGGACCCCTGGTACAATCCATCTAATTGATGCCGACGGCCATATTTCTGGGAAGCATGTTGAAGGCTCAGGAGCGACTCGAGGTGTTGTTCTGGTGCCAGCGCCATCGAAGCATCCTGATGATCCCCTCAACTGGTCGCCCCGTCGCAAAAAGCTAGCTGCTTTCTGCATGGCCTTGTAAATCTCGCCTTTCAGGTTTCTACGAGACCGAATGCTAACTTGAGTGGCTCAGCTACGTTCTTGTTATTGGAATTTGCTCGTCAGCTCTTTACTCTACCCTAGGACCACTTTCCCAGGCAACTGGACTCAGCTATAATGATCTGAACTACGGGACAGGCTATATGGTGAGTTCATGCCAACATCTTTTAATCAGCACTCGCCAATTCTCTTTTAGTTCCTTTTTCTTGGATGGGGATGCGTGTTCTGGTCCGCCGTTGCCACGCAGTACGGAAAGCGTCCTATCTATCTCATCACACTGGCGGGTACCTTGGGAACAATGGTATGGCAACCTCACATCTCAACAAATGGCGAATGGATAGCAGCGAAGATGCTTCAGGGTCTTTTCGGCGCTCCCATGGAATCAATCGCCGAAGTGACGGTGTCAGATATCGTAAGTGAATGCAAAGCTGTAGAGCGATGGTGTTTCTGACTTCGGCTTAGTTCTTTACTCATGAGCGCGGCACTTACATGGCAGTGTATGCTCTGGCTCTTGGTTACAGCAACGGCATCGCGCCTCTGATCATGGGTTTCATCAACCAGGGCATGGGCTACCAGTGGGTCTTTGTAGGTCGCGCAAAAGATGCTCTTGTATCCTTAAACAATGCTGACGTCTTCGTTTAGTACTGGTGCGCCATATTCTGCGCCATAGCCTTGGTTCTGCTGTTCTTCTGCATGGAAGAAACCAAATTTGACCGCGCCGGGCATGTTATTACCGCCCAGAACCTGCGCCGTCCTGAAGACGGAGGCAACGAAGCCAAAGCACAAGAAGACGAAGAAAAGAAAGCCGACGCCAACTTGGATCTGACCACCAGTCATGTGGCTCAAGCGACCCTCGATTCAACAATCCATAAGAAGAGCTATTTCGACAAGCTGAAGCCCATAGGCAGTGCCGGTTTCAAGCAGAGGAACTATGTCGGTCGCCTGCTGGTAGTTCCTTTTGAACTGCTTTCTTTTTCGATCATCGTCTACGCCGGGTTTCTCTATGGCTCCAACATCATATGGTTGAGTGTTTTGAACGCCACGGAGTCGATGATTCTCTCCCAGAACCCTTACAACATGGGTTCAAACGACGTCGGTTTAACGTTTATTGCTCCTTTGATAGGCACAACTCTAGCGTACGCTGAATCTGCCGCTGTCCACACTGGAAAGAGATTATAGAAACTGACGATGTCTTGCAGTGCTTGTTTCACCGGTCTGTTTGGTGATCGTTTCATGCTCTGGAAAGCGCGTCGCAATGGGGGCACCTTCGAGGCTGAACACCGCTTGTGGCTTTTTGTGCCGTCGCTAGCGCTGATTCCCTTCGGCTGCATTCTCTATGGCCTTGGAGCTTATCATCACGCCCACTGGTTCGCGATCGTCTTTGCCATGGGCGTCATTTCTTTCACAACAACGGCCGGATCCCAGATGTCCATTGCTTACATAGTGGATTGTTATCGCGACATGAGCAACGAGACACTCGCGGCCGTCATCTTCATTCGAAACACCATGTCTTTTGGTATTGGCTATGCGTAAGCTTCGCCGGTGGCTTATCCTGAATCGTTTTCAACTAATGCTGCGAATAGTGTCACGCCCTGGGTCACCAAACTTGGATACCAGAACGCGTTTATCTTGGGTGCTTTCCTCGGTCTTTCGCATAACTTGACAATCTTTCCTGTCATTAGGTGGGGTCGCAGTCTTCGTCAAAAGTCCGCCAACCGATACTGGAGGAAGGTTGAGAAGCATGAGATGGCAGGATTAACACATTGAACGCACGGTCGACTACTTTGCTCGTCGAGATGCTTTCAAATATTTCACTGCAAGTTTTTGTTTTTCTGGTTTTCCTGTCATCAAGACCGATTTTCTTCTCTCTTTCCTTTTGTATCGAGGGAGACTGGTGTAAGCTTGCCAATTTTCTATAACTCGTTCCAAACTCCTGAGATCTTCGTCATTGAAATGAATCAAATCAAATCAATCTGATGGACTTTGCATAGCTGGCTAGTTAATCCCATCATTCTGCTACGCATAGCATTCATTCTGTCTCCTCCTCGCCATCGCATCTCTACAGCTCAAGGCGGTAGCCCAGCCCCAGAGATGATATTGAGAGCTGACAGCGACAACACACACAGATACCACACTTCAAGCTTGTCTATTACAGCCCACGTATCAAGGTCGCCGAATAGAATTTTCAAGTAGCAAGGCATCTCATAGTTACGTACGCAGTGCTGACCAACATCTGTGAGAAGAAGCCGCGTGAGCGCGCGTGAAGCGGTAGAACATCCTGAAAAGTGATTGGAACCAAGCCGATCTAGTCATAGATCATCCATGTTGGCTCAAGTCTATTAAGTGCGGCTGAGATGGCTGCAGCTCTTGTGCATTCGAACTCAACCATGTGATGCGCATCGCTCGACACTAAATCTTAGTCTTCCTCAGCTGAAGACCAACCTCTTGTCTGCCATTTTTCCCATACAACAGAAACCTTGAAAAGTTCAAATCCAGAGCCTTTTATCTTTTATGTACTGTGTTCTCCTGAGCTTCGTCATGTCGTTCGTACGACGTCTTGCAACGAAGCTACTAGGCAACAAGACGCTGATGAGAAAGAACATGAAGGTTTCAATGGAGCTATACCAATACCGACCTCTTGAACATGAAGATGAGATCCGGGTCCTGATTCTACGCCCATCAACATCATATTCAATTGACGAAGAAGTCTTTTGCACGCTCGAGCACGTGCGACTCTCGGAGTTACCCCAATATGAAGCACTTTCGTATGTTTGGGGCGATGGAATCAAACCACGACGAGTGATCTGCGATGGGAGGACCATTCAAGTTACAGAAAACCTGTTCGCAGCCCTTCTTCATCTCAGGCACGGCAGCCAAAGCCGGCGAATCTGGGCCGATGCAATCTGCATAGACCAAGACGGCACGAACGGGAACGCGGAGAAGAACCACCAGGTCCAGATGATGGGCGAAATCTACTCCACGGCCGAGCAGACGATCGTTTGGCTGGGCGACGACGCCGATGGCCGCGCTGCGCGCGCGTTCGATCTCTTGGACGAGATCAACTCCTTCCTTCCCAGTGATTGGAGATTGGAAGTTCCGTTTCATCGATACGTCGCAGATGCCGTTCATCCTGCGGACTACCGAGGCTGGATCCTCTACGCTATCGACACTCTCAGCGTTTTCTTCGAAAAGTCATGGTTCCATAGGATCTGGATCATTCAGGAGGTCGTCAAAGCCAAGAAGGCCGAGGTGGTGATCGGCCACAGAGGCATTTGCTTCGACACATTCCAGGGCCTCATTTCTATGATGTCTCACGAGTTCGACCAGAACCAGGAGAGGTTCAACGCTCGAGCGGTCGCCAATTTTCACTGCGTAGGAGAAATGAAATGGCTCTACGAGACAAGAGCACGCGGGGAGCTCAGTGTCACCCCCTTGGCTCTCGAGCTTCTCAGAATCACGGAGTGGTTCCAGGGGTTCTCCGTGGAGAGCGACAGGATCTACGCTCTTCTGAGTCTGGCTGAGTACGACGGCTTCAGACCCAACTACGACCTGCCATCCAGCGAGGCATTCCGCGAGTTTGCCGTATGGGCTCTGCGCAGATACCCTCGTCTGGCGGCACTCTCATATGCGCGAGGTGGCGCCGAAACATCCTGTCCGGCTCCTTCCTGGGCTCTTGCCCCCAGGATTGAAGGTGGGCTCCCGTACAATCTTCTGCACATCGATCATTTCGAGGCGGATTTTGGAGCAGACCACACGAGCGGGCCATTCTTCCGAGTCGTCGATAAGTTTCCTTGTTTGTTCCTCACGGGCGCTGTCGTCGATACCTTACAAGACATGGCGCCTACATGGATGAACTGCTCCATGGCTAGAGACAAGCAACAAGCGCTCCTTCTCGCCGCAAGAGTTGCAGGGTGCGACCTTCCCTCGTCTTTAAGCGATGAAAGATATGCGAGGTTCTGTCGTGCCTTGAGCTTTGAGTTGGAGCCTGATATGAGTAGAGAAACACCCGAGACTGTGGCCAGAGCCGACAGATATGTTCAAGCTTACATCAGTGGTGGAGTCGTGTTGGACGAGCATCCCGAGGGCGAGGGCATCGCGGAGATCAGCACTCTGTGGCAGAGTCTAGCACGCTTCAGGTACTTCAGCAGTACTGACGAAGATCGCTTTGCCTGGGCGCCGTGGACATCGAAACCAGGAGACAAGGTGTGCATCATTCGAGGTGCAAAAGTGCCTTACGTGCTTCGTCCGCTACCCCAGCGAGGTGTTTACTCCTTGGTAGGCGAGTGCTGGATACAAGGCCTTATGGAAGGCGAGGCTTTGAAAGCGGACGGCTTCGCATGGGATGAAATTTGGCTTGTGTAAAGGTAACCTGTGCCCGGCAGATATGATCCGTTGTTCTGGTGTCTTGCTGGAGGCGTTTTGCTGACAACCTGGGCTTTTCGATGTTGGATTGAGAATGCCAGTCATAAATCTCAGATTTCAGAGCAGAACCCCCGACTTGCTGCTTGTTGGGTTTTTTTTCTGAGGTCTATCGAGATGTTTGATAAGATTCAAGCCAAAAAAATCACAATTCGTTAAGCTATCGTTTTGTTTTGGTGATCTTTGGTGGTGTTGTCTCTACTGAGACTAAATAAGTTGAAGGCTTGTGATATTGAAAGTATTTACTGCCATCCGTAACAAAACACCTGTGCTCTTGCTGAAGGCAATGTTGCAGTCGCCTGTGTAGGGAGAGAGTATGCACGATTATTGCAGACCTTGGACAACGAGTTCCTCCGTGTTCCGACTCCACGATGGCACGGAATTCAGCTGCATTCGCTGAGCAATAGAGTAACGCTTGGCAAACCAAACGGCCTTCCCGGACTGAACTTCGCCAAGGCGAAGAATCGTGCTCAATGATATTAGGGGCACCACAACGGCCCCGGCGATGTCCAATGACTTTCCTGTGTCTCCCAGTCGATGCGGTGGGACTACCGGCCAGGGTTGCATCGAACAGCCGGGACTAGCTTGGTTTGGCAGCTCACTAAGAGCCCTTGGTCTTGGCGATCATGATAAGCTTAATTCTCCTGCCGCATGCTAGCCATAGCTCCGAGGGCAATACGAATGAACTGCCTGTTTCTCCTCGCGGAGCAATATTGCGTCTTAGGACGGAGGAGACCGTGACTGAACGACATGCCTCATTGGGGAACCGGCTCCTGCCGCCTTGCAGGCTGATCCTCCACATCCCGAAGCCAATGACGGTATGCTGTCTTGCTTCGGGCGAGGCGATTTCGGTTTCCATTTAAGCAGCATCGTCGCCCGCTCTCTTGGCTCTGGAGGGTTGCTCTTTTCGCCCGTCGCCTTTGCCCCTGCCATCGGACCGAACTTCCCTCGTTCTCAAGACAATGCATCTCAACGCCGCCCTCGCCATCCTCGCAGCCTCTGGGCTTGCCTTGGCCAGCCCGGCTACGGACAAGATCCAGATTGACCCTGCGCTCCGGCTGATCAAGACGTCCGAGACCGACCCCGGTACCTGGGTCACAGACGAGCAGAAGATCGAGAACTACGTCAACAAGAACATCGGCTTCATTGATATCACTGATATCACTGTAAGTGTCTTCTATCGCTAACAAATCGAGTCGTTCCTAACAGTAAACAGGACCCCGAGGTCTTGACCGCGCTCTCCACCCCGCCCGAGGCCGAAATCGCCGCGAGACAGTCTGTCACGTATCCCACCACTCTGTCCCACGTCACCGAGGCGAACTCCTTGATCTCTTCGGTTTCCAACACCGGACCTCAGTCTTGGCTCAAGACGTTGACCGAGTAGGTTACTCAAATGACGGTGCAAAGTTTCCCGCAACTGACGTTTACAAAGCTTCTACAACCGCTACTACCGCTCGACTTACGGCACGCAGTCGGCGACATGGTTGTTCAACCAGGTCAAGACCATTGCTGCTGCCAACTCGGCGATCACGGTCTCGCAGTTCACCCACTCGTTCAGCCAGCCCTCCATCATCGCCAAGATCCCGGGAACCAGCACGAACCTCGGTATGTAGAACATGAAAGGTCCCCGTTATAGATCATGAAGCTGACCATTCCCAGTGATTGTCAGCGCCCACTTCGACTCCACCGGTGGCTCATCCACTGCTCGCGGACCTGGCGCCGACGATAACGGCTCCGGCGTCGTCGTCATCCTCGAGGCCCTGCGCGTCCTCGCAAACGCTGGCTTTAAGCCCAAGAACACCCTGGAGTTCCACTTCTATGCCGGCGAGGAGGGCGGCCTTCTCGGATCGGCTGCCGTCTTTGCCAACTACAAGTCTGCTGCTAAGAAGGTGCTTGCTGTTGTTAACCAGGATATGGCCGGCTACTCGCCTTCCGGCAAGGTCTCCGTTTACAACGACTACGTCGATGCCTCTTTGACTTCCTACGTCCGCCTTGTCGCAACCCAGTACACCGGCAGCACGCCCACCAGCGACACCTGCGGATACGGATGCTCCGACCATGCCAGTGCCCGATCCAACGGATTCCGTGAGTTAATTCTTATGGATATGGCATATGCTACGTAATACTGACAGATCTCTCTAGCTGCCGCCTACGTCTGCGATGAGCCCATTGACACATCAAGCCCTTACATCCACAGCCCCAACGACGTGAGTCTTTTCCACCTACGGGAAGCCCTGAGTTCCTGTCTAACATACCATAGTCCTACGACACTATCCAGTGGCCCGCCATCCTGCGCCACTCCAAGTTCACCGTTGGTTTCTTGGTGGAGGCTTCTTATCTGTAAATATTCCAACGGCACGCAAGTTCATATAGTCCAATGCATGTCAACCCAATTCGAGCCTGAACTCTGCCATGCCGTTGATATCCACCCGGTTCTCCGGTCCAGTCTACCGGTTATCCGGTCCCACGTGTCGTGATCTGTCACCTTGCGGCATGGGTTCCCCGCTCATATCCTGTGAAACCTACCCCATTCGGATGCCGTTCCGATCCAGGTCCCAACCCTCCTCCAACTATCTCCGTCGATCGGACTTGGAGCAACCAAACAAAGATTGTGATAAAGTTATCAGACAAGTCTAGACGCTTCGGACCTAGGTCTTGGGGTGCATCGGGGTGTCAACCCCAAGGTGTGCTGCCCCACATCTTGTGTGCGATTTGAGACACAAGGGTACGATAGCGTAATGTAGGTGCACATATGACTCTTATCCCAAGCCGTTCTCGGCCGGACTACCGGTTATGATATATAACGGACTTCTGGGTTCCTGAACAGATTTTTCACCGCAAGACCACCTCATCAAACGTCACTTCGTACGAAAAATGGGCAACTCAGAAGATCAAGTAAGGATTTCACCTGCCCCTCCGTTGATGCCTCCGGCACCCGAGGCGCTCGAACTTGGCACTCCGACGAGTCTTCGATCTCGGTCTAGTCAAGAAGACCCCGAGTCCAGCCCGCTAGCATGGCTTTGCGTTGTAGGGTCTTTCATGTTTCTGTACCCGACATACGGTGAGCGCTTCCCCTCTTACCCCGTGAACGTTACGAATCTCATACTGATGGACCATCAGGACTCATGCAATCCGTCGGAACATTGCAGTCATACCTGCAGCTCAACCAGCTCAGTGATTACTCTGCTCGTGATCTCGGATGGATTAGCGGTATCTTCACCTCTCTAGCCATGCTCCTGGGCATCCAGACAGGACCTCTGATGGATGCCTATGGTACAAAGTTCCTGGCTCCCATATCTGCGGCTATCCTCATCCCCATGTTCTTCCTACTAGCTGAGTGCAAGGAGTATTGGCAATTCATCCTATGTCTGGGCATCTTGGGTGGTGTCGGCGCCGCGATCACATCGACCGTCGCCATGGCCGTCATCGGGAAGCTTTTTCACCGCCGTCGTGGCCTTGCGATGGGCATCGCCCTGTCAGGATCGTCTTTCGGCGGCGTTACTCTCTCGATGATGTTCCGCTCTCTTCTGCCGCGCCTGGGTTGGCAGTGGGCGATGAGATCGGCCGGATTCCTGGTCCTTGGCGTCATGGTAGTAGGCGTCCTCTGCTTCCTTCCCTTTCCGAGGCTGACCGCGTCGTCATCCTCGGCCCCTATCGGTAACAGAGGAGCTGCTCTCAACTTTCAAGCGTTCAAGTCGCCGCCGTTCGACTTCATGGTCATGGCCCTCTTTCTCCTCGAGTTTGTCTTGTTTGGCATCACTGGTCTTCTTCCTACTTTTGCTATCGCTGCCGGCTTCCCTTCAGACACTGGGTTTTCCCTCATCGCTGTTCTCAACGGATGCTCCTGCATCGGTCGCATCACGTCCGGACTTGCCGGAGACCGTTTCGGCCACCTTAACGTAATACTTTTCATGATCCTATTCACCGTGACCTGCACCTCCGTAGTTCTGGTACCTTTTGGAACGAAGCATATCGGAGCTCTTTACGCTTTTTCAGCGTTGTGGGGCATAGGTTCAGGAGCCTTCCTATCCATTCCACCAGGTAGGTTCTAACCTTGAAAGTCTACAAGGGGCATGTACTGACACTCTGGACAGTTTGTATATCAAAGACCTGTGAGCCCAAGGATTATGGGAGATATCTAGGTACGTTTGACACCCACCGCATGAGGACGGCGCACTCTCAATGTATTACAGCCGCTGACAAGAGTCTGAACGTAGGCACCATGAACTTTGTTACCAGCTTCTCTCTTTTGATCGCCGTACCCGTTGGCGGGCAAATGCTCGAGTCTATGGGCGGGACTGCGCTCTCCGGTTTCTATGTCGCTCTCCTCCTCCTAGGCGGCGTTTCTTACTTTGCTGCGCGTTCTCTGCTTGTTGGCGGTTGGTTCACGTTTAGAACGATCATTTGATCACTCCTCGTAGACCCTAGCCGAGCTCGAATAGGTTTGTATGCATGGCACGGTACTCTTTTCGGCATTTTTAGCGTTCGCTTGCTTGACGGGGATCCCGAAGGAAAGCGAAACACATAGACTGGAGTCTCGGGTGACTCCTACACCAAGTATATTCAAACAGCGGTATGGATGCGATGTCATGAGACATGAAGACATTTTGGGGAATTTGGGGAAAGGTCAGCGCTGTATTTACGGAACACACCACTACATGAATCTTATAATGTAATCCTACGTAGTCCTGACCACTGAATATTGAAATAAAGTACGTTCAAATAATCCGACTGGTCTTTTGAGGTCACTCGTCCACCTGACGCTGCTCTGAAGTCACAAGGCAGCTAAGTCTTGCATTAGCTTTACGGGGAAGCGGATTTCCGGACCGTCAGATGAGATTCAAGATTCTCAGACGGAGGTAGTCAGGGTAAGAGAGCTAGTTGTGTGTTAGTTGAGCTAGAGTTACCCCGAAAATACTAGTTGATCTGGGAAACCAATGGATTTAGAAAGAGCACTCAGTCGAATCAAACCTCTACTGATATGACAGCAAACTGCGGGAACTTGTTTGCAGCTTCAAAAGTGCGAATTCAACGTGATGACAAGCCAACACGAGTATGCGATCAAATCAAAGGAGCCCTCACTTCTTTGTGTCAACTTTATCACGATCAACTTCGCTTTTGCAAGCAGCGTCTTGCTGCATGCGTACCAGGGAGTGAAAAATGACAAGTTCCTTCCATACGGCAGTCTCCCTTTTAGCAGGTAAACGAAACACAAGACGAGGCGTTTCTATTCTTGTTCGTTTCTCGCATTGTTCCTCGTGAGGTCCGAAAGCCTGAGGTATCTGTGCTCAAAAGGGTGTTTTGATTTACTCGATGCTGTATCCCTCGAGTGTGACAACGAGCCTCCCATTCATTCAATCTAACAAACTTGCATACTCGAAATTCCGGAAGTAGACGAGCGGTGGTCTGTGTTCAACGAAAACTGATCACGAGTCTATCGTATATAACTCATCTACGTCCTCTGCCATATTTCTCTCATCACCACACGCAATCACTTTCAGCAGCCACCTCCTTCCAAGCCCCCAATATCAAACACACATTACTCAAAACACCCGATTTCCAAGTAATTCATCATGAAGAAGGAGCTCGATGAAACACGCGAAATGCTAGTCAAGTTTTTCGAATCCCTTTCCACCAGGGACAGGAAAGAAAATAACGACAAACCCGCGGCAGACGATCACTCAGAAGTCGGATCTCAAAAGAAGGCCGCCCCCAGCAGACTCAAATGCATACCACACAATCCCAAGACCCAGCCCGTTAGCGCCGACGTGCTCAAATTCCCCATGGACCCCTCCCCCCCTCACGTCCCGTTCACGTCCAAGATGATCATGCGCCACGATCGGAGCACGCCGACGAAAGGCACCGTCACCCAGCAGCTCCGCGACGACAGCCGGAAGCACCGCGGAGTCTCCTTCGCCGTGTCCTACAGCCCCAGCGGCAGCGACAAGACCGCCGACGGCGACGCCTGCATCGTCCTCCACAACGGCACCAGGCCGACCGACCCGGCGCTCGCCATGGTCCCCGCCGAGACCTATCTCTGGAAGGGCTGCACCGAGATCGCCTCGAACCTCTACATCCCGAACCGCCCCACCGACGCGGACCCGGAGGGCGTCGCCAGGCAGGACGAGTTCTGGCACCGGCCCCCCAAGCTCTTCATGGACTCCTCAAAGAAGGAGAGATGGGGCCACTGGTTCGCCGACTGCCCCGGGCACCAGAGACGGCAGTGGTTCACGTGGCTGGGCACGAAGGTGGACGGCAGCGGCGACCTCTACGGCGACGACTTCACGTACCAGCTCGCGCTGATCCGGGGCGAGGAATGCTACCCGCGGGACCCGAAGGTCCTGGATGGGGCGGTCGCCTACGCCAGGTTCAACGGCATGCTGGCGCGGACGCGGCGGTTCCAGATCGAGTTTCTGGACGACAGTCAGGTCGAGCTGGGACATCAGTGGGCTGCCACGGCCATCATCACCGCGTTGAGGCTTTGGTCTTTGGTGACGACGCCCGGCGGTAGACTGATGCGAAACCGAGACTCTGATTTTTAGATCTATGGCCTGGATCGCTTTTTGTTTCCTTTCCGGCGGTTTTGTTTTGGATTGGTTCGTGTTTGATAGACAAGCCCTGAGTTGGATCACCTACTCCTAGATAAGCTACTTTTTTGAGGCTCAGGCTTCCTTGAATATGAAGATGGGAAATCAATGGCCGCAGAATGATGAGCACCTTCTTGTGATGTAAAATTGCTTACTGAAGACGCCAGCGCGAAATTGTTTGGAAGCTTCATATGACTGCTTGAAGAGCAGGGTTGTTGTTGAAGGCAGTTGGCAGCCTGGAGTAGGATAGTCTGGCCCGTTTTCTTAAAGCCTTGTCCTTCAACCTCAAGGTGCTCAACTGTCGTCTTGAGAAGGACAAACCTTTGCTGTAGAGCCATGGTAGCCTAAAAGCGTATTAGGAAACTATTCTGGATATCAAACGTCAAATGTGTACTGGTAAGTATGGCGACATGTAAGATAGACCAGCGAATAAGGGTGGCTTCATGTAATTGCGTGGTATATTGCATTTGTTGAAAACCTGGAAATGTATCTAAAATTGTGTTCGAATACTCAAAGTTATTTTATGTCGTTACAAGAAGCGGATCGATGAGACCTATAGAAACATGTTCGACTGCAGTATACAATCCAACCTGACCTGGACATCTTCTAGACTTGATAACGACAGTGGGATGATGAGAGCTTTTTGGTAGCATATTGAACGCGAAGAACTTTCACGTAGACCCGCATGACGTAAAGACATTGTAGGGATCCTTTACAGCTTGCTGAATCCGCAGGAAGCACTCCAGTTCATCAACGGCTCCTCCTTTTGAATGCCAGCCTAGCAGTCACATCCTCTGAATCGAAGTATACAGCGCCACCCTGCCGCCGGCATGACACCAACTTATATCCTATTGACGACGCCAACCAAGCCCAGCCCACATTGATACCCAATAGTTCTCCAAAAATGCTTATACTGAATCTTTCAATTAGTCTTAAAACTCATGATAATACTGTCAACTAGCTGTTCTCCACACGAGAGGTCTTTAGCGTCTAAGGGCAGTCGATGCGATATTATTCGAACCGGCACGTCTGCAGGAGCAGGCCCCGTCATCAACCGGCCTAGTTCGTCAAATAATATTAGATTCCAACAGAGGTGCGAGAATAACAAGTCAGACGAATACGCCTCACTAGGCTAATGTGATAGAAAAGAAGAACAAAAAGAGAAGTTTTGCAGCGTACAACACACTAAAAATAACTTTCCACAGAACACAATGTAAATCTACTACCCAACACTCAAGAGAACAAGAGTTCATACAAGAGAAACATACTACCACCTCACTCCCACTTACCTAACCTACATCTCCGTGACTGATATCTCATGCAAGACACAAATCCACAATCTACACTGGAATATCTACGACCTAAAGCAATCATCTCGAAGTGCCGCTACCTCAACGGAGGAAACGCATCAAGATGACTCATTCAACACCACGTCTTAGAATAGTCCGCTCCCGCGGCGCGTCATATTCGTCACGGCCGACGATGAAATCCTTACAGCCAAGGCGAAAATGCTAGCCGCGAGATCGTAGAACGATGTCGTTGAATTGGTCTCAGGGTGCCACGCATACATCCGATGGCATGAAAACCGGTCACCGCGGACTCAGGGCCGAGTTGCTGTTGGGCCTGGACGCAGTAAAGAGACTTATTCCTCAGAAGGACAACTTCGTCCAAGCCAGCCTGTGAGGTTTATACTCCCAAATTACGAGGTAGTCCTCCCAACCTCTAAGTACTGCCTTGACTTCAGGTCTTCCAGCATCTATCTGTTTGTAAAACCTATGACGCATACAAACTGCCTTGTCCTAATACCAAGGAAACACGCAGACCGTCGCAGACACCTCAACCGCGCCGCTTTCAAACAACGGAACAGGTCCAGATCATCACCAAGCCTCTCAAGACCGCGCCGACCAATACAACGAAATACCAAGGAACAAGGAGACTCACGAATTTCCTAAGTTAAAGGACAATCAACAAGGATAACAATACAATGCTGGAATTAAACAAATCTCATACAAACCAAGCCCCAGGCAAAGCCCAACACACATCGGAGACTCCAGCACTACCTACCCGCTCGTCCGGATGCCGGCATCAGACCACCGAGAACCCCAATACCCGACTCCCGCGTCCCGCGATCCGCGCCGCAGGGCTACATCCCGCGCGCCGTAAGCAGGAGGACCTCGGAAAGGAAGACAGAGACCCCTTACGAATGCAACGCGCATCGTGCATAAGTCTGCATTCCTCCCGCCCGAGCCGGGGGTCAAAGTTCACTAATCCCGCGAAAAGGAGCGTTGGATCCGTTTTGGATACGGCGAAGAAATTGCCGAGTACACGAAAAGTCCGAGGTTTCAGGGCGGCGAAATTGGACGTGTTTTTTTTGTGAGCAAGTTTAAGGGTTCATGTACGAGCAGGAGTCCTGCTTCATATGGGTTTTTCTTGAAAGCAGAGGTCTCGCGGAGACTGCGAGACGGCGTTGGCCTGAGAAACCGACCTCAACGTTGTCAGCCCAGTAGCACACCCAACAGTCTAGAAAGATAGAACCAGTGACTAGATAGAGGCCTCTCGAAGCGGACTGGTCTCCCGAAACCGCTTGCGAAGTCAGATATCTGGGAAAACTTGAGAAGAAGGCCGTCGGGTTCTTTTTCCGAAAGCTCAAGTACTCACCTCGAAAGCACAAACTCTACGATTCGTGATGCCCACCAAAGGCTTCTTGGCGTGTAAGTCAATTCGTCCACAGCTGAAAAACACCAAAAAGACCCCCAATACCACATGAACCCGCCTCGCTCAACTTCCGAAGTGGACCAGCCCATCGCCAAGTCCACGGCCTCGGACTCGCTCCCTTTTTGAAGAAAAACGCCCATCACCAACACGATGGCTGAGTTCGAGAGCGGTGTTCTCTCCGGACGCCAACTTTTTAGTGAACGTGGAGCCACCTGCGATCTTGGCCGCCGACGGTCTGGATCCCACAAGCGGGCTGGGTTCTCTGGGGAGAATTGGCCCGAGCCCCCGGGGTTCGAAGGGCTTAGGGTCCCCGTCGGTCTCGACCCGCTCAAAAAAACATGGACGCCAGCGCTAATAAGCGCCTTCCGTGGGGGCGGGCTGTCCCCGTCAACAACTTCATTGGAATGAGACGCGGCCGCCGGTTTCCACCCATCGTACGAGTATTATCGTCATGTAATAGACCCGCGTTTTTTCGTGGAGATGTCATGAAGATCTGATGGGCACGAGAAGGAAAAAACTTGCAGAACCCCGGATGCGGAGTGAGATGAAATCTCGGGGGAAGGGAACCTGACAGGAGGGTGCTTTTAGATCTTTTCCGGGGAAGACATGGGGAAATCAGGGTGACCTGACTTGCCTGGCTTCGTGTTTCGTGGTGTGATCTCGACCAGGAGACCTTCACCAATCCAAATGGATTGAAATTCGCCGAATTAGCTGAATGGCTTTTGAAACATACGATATATCGCATATGAGAACGCCACTTCTGCGTGTCTAGCCTAGTTAGTAAACTCTGAGTGGTATCCTGGCTTTCACACGTTGAGTTAGCCATGCAAGTCTCAGGAAGTGGATAAGGACAAACGTGTTGGGAGTAGAGTTCCGAGAAACACTCATTTCTGTTCCAGACAAGTCTTGAACCCTCCGTCCGAGTTGAACGCGACAAGTCAGGACCCTTTCTGTGAGAAGAAAGCCTAGCAATTGTACCCATGCAAGTAGCCGACGGCCGGTTACTGGGATGTCCTGTTGCCTGTCCCTGGTGGAGAAGGGCTCCGGTTGTTGGGCTGGGCAAAGTGGACAGGCCCTGCAGTACTACGTCCTCTCGGCCTGCATCGGACAATTCGATGAGCACCACCAAGACACCAAGAGACCGATGACTAACGTGCCGAAAGTCAAGACATTATCGCGCTTGTGCTACGGCCATCAAGCTTCCTGCCAAGCGCTGGGCGAGATATCGGCGCCGAAGCTTGTTCAGAGGTTAGTGTGAAACACTGACACGAGGTTGATTGCGAGTAAAAGGTGGCACATAAATGGTATCAAATCATTTTGTATTCGTTCAGATAATCATTCGCGCTTTATCGCGACCATGGGGTATTGTGTGACATCCAGCCGACGAAGGGCCTTGTCGCCTTTCATTGCCGTTTTCCAAAAACCAAAATTGTGTGCTATAGCATGTGCTGTTGACATGCGGTCGAGTCGCCGATCCCGGCAGCGACTTCGAGCTTACTCCTTGCGAGCATCCTCGACGTTGGCAGCCTTGATGCTGCCCTTCTCCTCGTCGTGCTCGTCAATGATCTTCTTCTCTTCGAACTCGCCCTGAACACCGGCAACGGCATGCTCGAAGCTGCGACCGCGGCGCTCGGGTCCGAACATAGTGGTGAAAACGATGCCCATGGCGATGATTGCCGTGGCAATGCCCATGACGGGGCCGTAAGCCTCAACTCTGTCGCCTGAGGGGGCCGTGACGAAGGTGCTCTCGGCGATGGCGTTGACGATCTGAGCAGAGGGAGAAGAGATCATGTTACCCAGCTGGTAGGTGATACCGGGGAACGAGGAACGGAAGGCGGGGGGAGACAGCTCGTTCAGGTGGATGGGAATGACACCCCAGGCGCCCTGGACGAAGAACTGCATGAAGAAGCCGCTCGCACTGAGGCTGCGCTCGCCAATGGGAAGAATCCAGGCGGGGATGAGGCAAGCGGAGATGAGGGCCGAGACGACGATGGCACGACGACGACCAAAGAACTGGGAGAGGTAGCCGATGATGGTGCCACCAACACAGGCGCCAGCCTTCATGAGGATAGAAGCGCGGGAAGCACCGTCGTTGGCCATCTCCTTCTGGGCGATCATGAAGGTTGTGTAAGAGTCTTGGGAGGTGTGGGAGTAGTAGTTGAACCAGGTCATCAGAATGATGCAGTAGACGCACATCTTCCACTCCTGGGCCAACATCTTCTTGGTCTCCCTCCAGAAAGCGCCGGCAGAGGCGTCCTTCTTGCCGTGGGCCTTGGCCTCGAGGAACTGCTGAGACTCGGGGAAGAGAACACGGACGAGACCGACAGCAATGGAGATGCCGGCGGCGATCCAGAAGACGGTCTTCCAGGTCTCGGTACCACCACCGACACCGAGGTTTGCGCAGGCGGCAAGGACGTATCCGAAGGAGTAGCCTTGTTGGAGGATACCGGACATGAGACCGCGGGCGTTGGAGCTGTAAAAGATGGTTAGCCGGGTTCAGTGGACATTCGGAATTGTGTTTACATACGGGCAGTGCTCCAGAGCCATGGCAATGGCGTTTCCGTAGACACCTCCCATGAAGAGACCGAACAGACTGCGGACGGCCAAGAACTGTTGGAAGGTTGTGCTGTAGATGGTGGCGATCTGCAGAACACCGAGAATGATCATGTTCAAGACCATGGGCCACTTGCGGCCGTACTTGTCACCAGCCAGACCGAAGAAGGCGGCACCGACGGAGCGGAGCAGAAGGGTGAGGGTGATGGCGGTTGTGATGTCGGTCTTGGAGCGGTCGTAGTACTTGGCCAGCTTGGTGGTCTGGATAGAGAGGGCGTGGAAGTCGAAAGCATCGGCGGTCCAGGCGCAGAAACCGCAAACGAAGAAGAGCCAGTCGCGGGCGCTGAGCTGAGCCATCAAACTGAAGGGGTTCTTGATGGGATCAGGATCCTGCCATTCCGTGAGAGTCTCGCCATCCGGGGTGACGACGACGGTGCGCTGCTTCCAGATGAAGAGGTCCTTCCAGGACTGCTTCGCCGTGGCGAGGATGCCCTTGGCGACGGGGTCGGCGGGCTGAGCGGTAGACATGGCGGATGTCTGGGTTGCTCGAGTCTGTTAAGTGTTTCCTCTGGGTTTGGTGTCTTGTATAGGTAGGAGGAGGAAGACGGAGAGGAGAAGTCAAAGACTGAGGAAGAAGAGGAGGATGTGGCACGGCTGACTGAGTTCAGAGAGATGGGATGAGGGGGCATACGAGGTCTTCTATATACTTTGAGGCAGACTCGAGGGCTGGCCAAGTCGACGAATCACCCAGCAGTCCAGCGCGTCGGTGCCAAGAGTTCATCAGACATGGGGATGGTGGATAGAGGTTTCGAGGGGAAGGCTAGGAAAAAACAAAGAACGGCCAATGTCGAGGGTCAGGACGACAAGGATGGCACCGGCTGTCTTGCGGTTTCGACCAGCGATCATCTCCCACGGTGGAACACTGCAGTACGGCGTGACGATACTGCAGACAGGCCGGCCAATGAGGGGAACGGCGTCTTTCGTGGATGCGTGGGGAGGTCAGAGTTGACGATGCGGGGTCGGGGGAGAGGGAATGAGGAGAAGGGCAAGGAAGCCAGACAGGATGTGAGGGGGCATGTTGGAGGTGTGTGAGGAGCTGGACATGCATCTGGTCGAGGCACGAGGGAGACGGAGTACATGACAGGGGGAAAGCTGGGAGGGCAAGGAACGGTTGGAGGTAGGGGTCATGATGGTTACAAGACGCCAGGTCGTGTTGGGATATTGTGCATACCGAGGAGGATAGTGCAATGAGGGAACACCCACACGGGTTTCCACGCGTACGGGAGACGGGCTTCGTTCCGGCACATGATGGATCAGCTCCAGGGCCACGAACCGTGATCCTGAGCGGTATCTCTGTACTCTGTACTGTTTGTGCAACCGAAGTGGATGTGTCCATGTTTGCAATGACAACATGGCTGGAAATGTCCATTTACGGTAAGGTGGAAGATGATTTGCGATAGAAGGCGAGTCGGGATCCCACAGGTCGAAATCCAGTTGGAGTGGCCGGCCAAACACCCTCCTGAAAGAAGGCGTTTCTAGAATGAATCGTCTTTGGACAATAATCTCTCATCTTGCATTGGCGAGAGACATGATGACTGTTGGAGCGCACAATGTGTCACGCGTGGCCCTTTGCGTCGGCCGTTTCGGTCAGGGTGCAGAAAGCCCGGCGGCAGGCATTGAAGCTGAGAATAGGAGCCATCGAGACTGACGGTGTTGTTGCGATGTCGTGAGGGTTGGATTGCTGCGATTTGAGGTGTCTTTCGCGTAACAGCAGTGTAAGAAGGCGATGGAGATGAGGCCAAGAGATGAAAGTGGAACGCTGAGAATAGCAACGGGGCTGCTCTACGGAGTAGAGGCGGCGAGGAAAACACCAAAAAAGAAGAAACGCCGAGCGGTGACAACACCCAATGGCGAGGGTCAAAAGGGCGAAACGTGAAGAAAACTTTGCGCCGCGCGAGAGCGTAGAAAAAAGTCTTGGCCGTCTGTGTTTTTTGGTCAGGTTGGTGGAGTTGGCGATGGAGAAAATCGAGGGCAATGTTGCATCAAGACGAATCCTTCATCGCTGGAGGAGGGGAGGTCGACAAGTCAGAAAACCGGCAAGAAGAAGTGGTGATGTGATGGACGGAGTGAGGCAAGGTACGTACTGCTGCTTCTTTCCTTCTAGATTGATGAGTAATTAATCAAGTCAGACGGCAAGAGTAATCCAGGAAAGAAGCACGCATTTGGTTGTGATCACGCCTGCCTTCTACCGCCTGTAATTGCAAAATGCAAGAAAGAGCAGGAGCGACTGCCGCCGCCCCCATCGTCCATTCCGTTGAGGTAACGAAGGGAAGGAAGGTGCCCCTGCCCTCTGTTCCTTCCTCCCGTCCCAACCTGAGTCAATTGCCTACCAACGACAACCTCGAGGCAGGTGCGCCTCTTTCCCTCGAGGTGGTTGCTTCCTAGCGCAGTTTCTCACCCAAAAAGTGCAGGGATGGCTTTGTTCATAAACGTAGGCCAAGACACGACTCTTAATGATTCTGCCAAGAAAGAGCTTGTGTTCTTCTCGGCAAGCCATCCCGTTGCGCCAAGTTGCTCGGCGCTGCGAGGGAAAAGTCGCCGCACGACGGACGACTGACGACATGTAAAAGGCACTCGAGATATATCGAATGTCGTCGGGAATGGAAACAACTGCTACGCGCTTCCAACTGAATGGTTCGCGACATCAAACGAACTGCTTTGACAACTTGACAGCCGATCCCCGCCCTCCTCGCCTCCAGGTTGCGACCCAAAATCCTGTGGGCAACACGGGGTAAACGGGGTCATCCAGCGCTAATGCTCCATTTATGCCCACCGTAAAAGAAAATCTCGACGGTTCAATGCTGGGGAATTAAGCTTAACAACGGAATGTGGCCTGATGCTAACAGATGGCCCGCTCGCATTGGTGGTGTTCTGATAAGGGAGGGGACGGAACCTCTCTCGCGTGGTGTGCTGGAGGTGTGTCTTGGCCAATGACGGTTCTTCTTTTGGCACCAAATTCGCGCAATGGTGCTGCACTTTCTGTGTTGATCAAATGGCCGTGCATTCGCTCTTGCAAAAAAGGTGAAAATGAGGTGGATTTCGGGACCCAGACCCACCCCCCACTGGCACTCGCCGACACTTTGCGCCGTTTGGGCAGTTGCAGTCACCGACCGTACTTGCCTCTTTCCTTCCTCTGCCTCTGAATTTTCTGCAAAAAATACAGGAAGGTACGGCCAAGACTCGAGCCTGCCCTTTCAGTCGGGAGTGCGCCCGACTCCGGCACGTCTCCACTTTCGCTTTTTCGAGTCTCGGGCATCTTCCGATTATTTTTCTGCCCGCTGGCGTTGGCTCCGTGATTCACCCCCGGACTTTTTCGACCCTCCACAATCGCTTTCGACTGTCATCCGCTGTCATCCAAACGCCTTCACTCGCTCGTTTTCACGCTCGAGCCCACGACGTGCCCGGTTCTCCATTTCCCCAGTCTCCATACTGATCCAGTTCGCTCGCGCAATTTGAGTCATGCTGGGGTCACCTCGTCCGCCCAAGAGCCTACCATCCACGCGCCGTCCACGTACTCCTCCTCGTCGACTTGACCGCATTGGAAAGCCATCGCCGACATCTCGCCCGTCGCCAAGACCTCGTACTCCATCATCCATGGCTGCCGTCTGATTCCTAGTCAGTTGTGCCGGAAGAAAGTCCCTCGAAGCTGACCAATTGCTAACTGTCTCGGCCAGGCTAGTGTACAATCACGTTGGATTGAATCAATTCCCAGATGCAGATGCAACTCAGCCGGCACTTGTTCCCTCCGACCTCGCGGGGCCACTCACGCTTCGCCATTTCATGTCACCTACCAAGAGCTCGGCCTATTGCTCGCCTCGACTTGCTGACCTCGTCTACTCGAACCCTGACTTGCATCTGCAGCCGGATGCCCATCACTACCACATCTCGACCTCTCGCCTGCAGCCTCTCCACGCTCCTCCATCCCCATCTCCGTCTCCCCGCCTCTCCAACGCGCCATCTCCTCTTCAACCCCAAACCCCGAATCTGCTTCCTCTGGAGTTTGCGGAGAAGAACGGGTCCGCCATCTTCGCCAAACCGGCTGCTTTTCGCGGCCCTCACCACCAACACGACCGTCTTCCACGTTGCCTCGCTGCCTCGTCGCATTGCTCCACTTCCGCCGCCACTCACCACTCAACACCACACACTTACACCCTTGCCACAACCGGCCAAAAACATCTGCAGGCGCATCTCCCGGTTGTTTCGAGATCCTCTTCCAGCTCTCTAGCTTGGTTACTATCGACTCCCATGCTGCCGCGGGGACGACACTGGAATCCCCGGCGTTTTGAGCAAAGCCCACCAGCCTTTCCAGAACCAGGTGATATCACGAGTCGGTACATGTGCCCCGAGGGCCCAGATCTTCGTCACCAAAGTGAGCTGAATACCACCGCAGACTTCAGACCAAACGGCGGTGAGCCTCATCTCACATTCGCCATGTCTGACACAAGCTGACGGTAATCAGCGACTGGCACTGCAATTGCCTTTGGGAATGCATTTTCCGCCGATAAGACGCGGCCACACACAGCCAATCGGGTCATATCACCATCCTGCAGCCACCAGGACATGGCATCCAGCACTCTTCGGCCCTTGAGCCTCTCGCGACCCTAGCAAATGTCTCAGCGCCATGCTGGTCTCTTGTCGCTAGCCTCTGAGGTGCTTCTAGAAGGCCGCTTGCTCGTATTTTGGAACTTCACATGGCTAGTCTCGTTCCAGCCATTCATGAAGTTATCGCTGCGACGTTGTTGTCTACAATTGCCTGTCTGGGTCTCTGTCTCTCCGTTTCGACCCCAGTTGCGCGTCAGAGAACCGCTGGCCTGTGACACTCGTCCGTGCTGCGTGCGACGCTGGGAATAGCATGCGACAAAACAACTCGGACTCTTCCAATGTTTCTGAAATATTTTCAGGGTCCGTCGCAAATCCAGAGATTCGACTGCTAAGATTAGATGACAGCAACAAACAGATCAGAACGTGGTCGCAACGGTTTCGCATCAGATCTGCGCCCGTTGGTCATTCACATGTTGACCCCCAAATGCGCCCAGCCGAGTCCAGGAATTGAAGCTCAAATACAAGAAACGCCAAGGCCCCGAGCCCATATTTTCCCTTCCTTGGCCTCAATCCTGTCGACATCGCAACCTGGCGGGTTACCTCCTCCTTGGCATCAGACCAGACGGCTGCATCTACGATAATAGCTCATCAGCTACGAAACACCTACGCGCTGTGGCATGAATCGAGCATCGCTACTGACGAGAGAGGGGCAGTTGAGACTTGGCCTACGCATCGTCGACGCGCCCGAAGAGCCCCCCCGTCTACCTTCGGTCGACTCGTCCCCGAAGGACACCCACCTTCACCCACCGAACGTCCGCCCGTCGGTCGGTCTTGTCCCCAGAGCCCGTCATCCGTTCCGGGACATATTCGTGCCCCAACCTTAGAAATGCTGCCGTTCCTTCGTTGTTGGGATGCCCAGCCGGAGTATCCATACTGACGACAATAGTTCTCGTGATGAGTGGTTGGAAGCCCGACGCGCGTCGATCAACCGCACCCTTCAACACGGAACACCCGGGTCTTGACTAAAGCTTTTGCAGATCCGGAGATCTACGGAGATTGCCCGCCCGCCTTTTGCGGCTTGAGCTGTTGACGACACATCGTCAGAATCAACAGTCTACGAGCTCCTTCTGCCCAAAGCCTCTTGGCATGCTCGAGGCGAATCCGCAATACCACGAATCCACGCCCAGCCAATACTCCACGGGTGGCGAGAGGGCGGACAACCTTTGAAGTGCTTGGCTCTGCGACTTTTGCCTTGGCATCTTACGATGTTGATAAGACGAGGTTATGGCTGTGTTTGCCGACTACCGCCTATTGACAGATGGCCGATATAACCCGGACAACTTCTGCTCCCTTTTGTCGACACGCATTAGTGGCTTCATGGAGTATATGATGAACTTCTAATGTGGTCGACTCTCCTGATGGAAGCTCTCGGGGACTTTGGAGCTCAAGTACCAGAGACTAACCCAATGTTTGGCCCTTGGCACGAGCATAAGAATCTCCTCCGCTGTGTTCCTGCACTTTGACGAGCACACCTAACGATGAGGTGAAGTACACAGTGGACTCTGACGATCCACAGGAAAAGCCTGGAGACAACACCAACTGTACAACACCAAGGCCTACAACGCGACTCTTCTATACCTCTGACAGATCGTATCTGAGTAGCCGGACTCGCTTGGGATCATTGAGATTACTGTTGGCGCTGCCCTTTGACTTCTTTAGGAAGAAATCTTCCTGATACCACTAACCTGTTACTGCATCCCAGCTATTCAATAACGGGCAAGTACGAGGTGAAGAGCCAGTAGTTAGTTAGGTTACCCTAAAAGAGATTGTGTGCTGTCTACTTCTTTAGAAATTCTCCTACAACTGTAAGCAGTATCATGTCATCTCGCGTAGCTTTGAATCGTTATTCCGACTACCTCGGTAATACGTTATGAATCAAACATAGCGTACAATACATGGGAATCATCATCAAAGCATCGTTTTCTAGAGCACCAGTCCTGTCACGCAAGGACTACGTAGACACTGGGACCCGTTCTTGATCTCAAACTCCTGGTTAAGCACGGAAACAGAAAGAAAGAAAAGTCATCACTCAGATGTGCATTATTCTAATAGCAGCTTGACTGCAGAGGTTCGTGATCCCAATATCTTCTGTGGTTTAATTCAAGTATAGGAAACGTTTGGCTTACTTGTCATGCTCGCACGTTCGAGACGCAACTACTCTAGCATATCACGGGATGAAACAGAAGATGAAGACGTGTCTGACTTTACACGACGCGGTGTGGTTTTTGGGTACTTGTTCAGAGGCAGGATTAAATGAGCCACTCGTCGTCATAGTCGTTCCGTGTCATCATCGTCGATCCCTATAACCGGGGACTATGCGCATTTGATACAAGACGGCGGTAAGCTCTAGGATGGAAACGATGTCTCTCTGAGTCTTGTCCTTCTCAACATGAACAATTCGACCTACCAAGATGTGCGTCAAAGAGGAGCTGGTTGTTTCAGAACCGCACCTACTGTATCTCTGCTTCCGGGCCCGGTGTCGTGACTACTTCCTCCCTTCTCCGAATCTACAATCACCGGTAAGGAAGTATAAATCAGTACGTATAGCATGTTCTGAGTAGGACATGTATGGAATGCTGAGCCGACGAAACTTTGAACATGGGAAGAACGAATACAAAATCAACGTCTCAGGTCAGATCTGTTTTGACCAGCTCCGTCATCGGCACCAGCGGGCTTCGGAAGGATCACGATCTCCACTCGACGGCCGTGGTGCCGGAAGCTTTCGGGGCCGGTGTATGTGGATCCTGGGACGTTCTGCTACCGTGTTCTGGGATGCCCTGCCGTCCCGCATCGTCTCGCATTGCTATTTGACTGAACATTGTTGGCAGGAGGCTCATCTCGTAGCTGAAATTGCCGGAGTATAACCTTGGTGCCAAACTAAATCCGAATGGGAGCATTCATTCTGGCCACTTATGATGAGGTGTGGACTTTAACCAAGTGTCTTCCTTCGGGACGGCCGTCACTTTGACAAATTTGATAAGAATTACTAGACTCCCTCACACCAATCCTTCAAACACCAGCAGGCTTAGGCTGCCCGAGAATAACATCAATGACCTTGTGATCATCATACGCCGCCACAGCCCTCTCACACAGCGCCTTCACCCGCTCCGGCGTCTGCAGCGCGTACGGACAGATAATCCAAATCACGTTCGTCATAAACGACCGCCGATACTCGATCATCACCTCGGGGTCGTTGTGCCGGTCGAACTTGGGCCCGCCGAGCCGGTGCAGCGCCGCGAGGTAGTGGTCCAGGATCTCCATCTCGTGCGCGCGGCGGTCCTCGACGCTCAGCATCGCCGTCACGAGGTAGACGATGTCATGGAAGCAGGAGCCGAAGTGGAAGGCGGACCAGTCGAGGAAGCCGAGGCGGCCGTCGGCTGTGATGTAGACGTTGCCGATGTGCGTGTCGCCGTGGAGGAGGGTGCGGAAGCGCGGGTTGCGCTCGGCGTAGTAGCGGTCCAGGGCCTCGTTGCAGCGTTTGCCGTCCATGAGGTACGCGGGGAGAGGGGGCCGGTTCGGGCCGCGGACGATTTCGTCCCAGGGCCTGCACATGAATGTCATTGCCGGGTCGTAGTTGTTCCAGATCCCTACGTGTGTTGTCAGCAAGTGATGCCGAAGCAGAACGGCGTGATGGTATTATTCTCACATGGATGGTCCTCCTGGCTCTGGCCCCAATACTGCGCGTGCAACCCCGCCAGCTGTTCCACGCCGTTCATCGCCTTCTCGACCGGATACGAATCCGTCTCGCCGGGAAACGTGCACCCCTGCTCGACGAGGTCGCTCATGACCGCGATGCCCTGCTTCTCGTCCGTCCCGCTCCACCAGCCCTTGGGGAACGTCATGGTGTCCTTCACGGTGGGCGCGATCCTGGAGAAGAAGTCGGCCTCGCGCTGGGCCAGGCTGACGGTCCAGGGCTGCGCCTCGATCATCTCGGGCTGGAAGACGCCCTTGATGCAGACGTGCGACGGCCTCTCATCATCGCTCTCGTCCTCGTAGGTGATGGTGAAGAAGAGCTTGCTGCCCGTGCCCCAGATGTTCCTCGTGTTCTCGACGGATTTGATCCTGTGTCCGAGTTTCGAGCCCAGCCACTCTGGTGTGATTTCCGCGAGGAGGGAAGGGAGTCGTTCGGTTGCTGTTTGAGACATTGTTCTGGGATGCTGGCTGGTGAGTTCGCGATCGATTGACATGTCGTGAGACCTGAACCTGCAACCGCGGAACAGCGGCAACTCTCGTCTTTATAAACACGCAATTCCACCGCGCCCTCGACTCATAAACCCTACCGTCAGAAGTGGGATTTCAAAACTCCCACCTTACGATAACTAGCCTCTATTCGTACGAGAGTCCCCGCTGCAAGTAAGCCGATATGCCACTGGGCGTGCTGCTGTTGGTTCGATGTTGTTGGTGCGAAGTGAGAGCCGGCCAGACCGCGACTTTCATTGGCCTAAAGAGCAGTATGCGCGCCGGGGTATAAGCACCCCACAGCCGCTTCTGCATCCGACGTTGAAGAACCTTTCTCAGTGTTGGTACTTTGCAGTGCGATAGGCTGGAGTCTCATTGGGTGGTTCAATTGGCAGAGACTCTTGTTGGGGCTTGTCAGCAGTTCCTGTGATAGGCAGGTTTATATATGTGTACTTGCAATTACTCTTTACGGTCTGAATCTCACTCTGCGGAACACTTTGAGATATTCAGGCTAATTGAAACAAAGTTTTAGTGGCACATGACCTGCACAGGGTGAAGTCGTTGATGTAGTTTAGCCATGCTGAGCGTCGGTTCAAAGATTTGGCAGAAGTGTCAACGTAATTCATAAGTTAGAGTGGCGTCGTCAACCTGATTAAGCTTGACGAGACTGTCACAAATTCATGATGCTTCAGAATCGGAGCTCAATGTCGATTCAAGCTTGATGTCTGATTGGCTCATTGCATAGTCCGAAGCATCTTTACATATGCCCTGTAGATGGAAGGTTGCATAGCGTGGAAGGGGCTACATTGAGGAGTTGATTTCTCTTTTCCAGCCTATACGGAATGAATTATGACAGCTAGAAAAGTGGGCAAGAAATAGGCGAAGATTATTCTTAACGACATTGTGTCATTCACGGATGTGGTTTCAGTCGGCATCGCCGTCACCTTCTCCAAAAGACGTAGCATCGGAAATGATCACATTGAGAGCTAGAGTCTTCTGGTGAAATTATACAGGTATGCGCTGATTTAGTCTATACCGGTGGGATTTAACCATAAGACGGCAGATGCGACATAATAGATCTTGATAATAAATAATATATTTGAGACGGTCTATTCTTTCAAGCATGGTCGTAACGAATGCACTGGATGGCTAGGCAGGGTATCTTCCTACATACCGTGAAGGGGATCACATGCCCCTTTTCGGCAGTTGCCAAATATCAACTCACCAAAAGGGTCATCCATCATTGAACAAGAGCCTGTAACCACTTTCATGATAGTATCAATCAAATTGCCTGTTACGTTCAATCATATCTATAATCTTTCGTCAGACCTAGACAGCCCACACGTCTTATGCACTTACACGATGATTATTTACCTATTGGCAGCACCCCCGACGATAGAAACTAAAATCGCACAGCTCGCCAACCGCAACAGATTCCGAGGTATTCTCCAATAATGCGTTACCAAGCTTTTGTGAATAAGGTTCCGCATTATCAGCTGCCACGAGAGCTGCCTTTATTTAGAACTTTGTCTATGGGAGGAACAACGTTACATCATCTGATCAACCGCCACCTAGGCTAGGCCTGATGAGGATTATTAGGTAGATTCAATCCGGATTCGTTATCGACAATGGTTCAGTTGAATTCCATCATAGGCTGCCGCTTCTGGTATATCCGGCCTCTAGAAGCCTTTTTCTCACTTATAGCCGGAGAGGATTTAAAGAGAAACATTTTAAGCCGAACCGGCCGAGTAGTGCTCATCCCGCCAGGCCCTTCTGAGACTGAATCACAAATATCGCTGACAGATGCTTTGCAACGGTGACTTGTTAGCGTCTTACAAGTGCGCTATCTCGGAGTTTAGAAGGCGGTGGCAGCGACGCTAACGATGCACGGGAGCGGGAAGAGTTGAGATCGAGGGCGGCGTAAGCGGACAATCCCGAGCTTTCTGCGAACGCCGGTCCACCCATCAAATCAATAAATGTCATCGCACACACCTTTAGCTCCCAGCCCCGATGCTTAATACTTATGCATGAATAATCGAGGATCTCAATGAAAATAAAGAAGGGAAATGTTCAGACGAGGAAACAGCGAACGGACCAATCCTCCACTGAGGATCAGAAGACGTCTTTGTGACTTCACACCCTCCAACTGCCGTGTTTGGCAATAAGGGGTGAGTGTAACGTGGGGTATTTCTGTCATCAGATGAATGTGCTCATTCGGCCTTATTTTTAACCTTTCACATAACAGTTATCCCCGAAAAGAGGTGTCCACGAAATGAGGCTAAGGGGGGGCAACATAGCTGTCGACATTGCCGAGCACTCCGCGAGACCGCCAAAGAGTCGTCAGAAAGGACCTTAGAGGCCTGCGTTAATTTGCGGACTTCGCGGGGTCGTGAGTAATTCATGCTACCTCACTGGTTGTCATGGCTGATGAGATCTGGGATAGTCGTCGTCAATAATCCACTCTCCGGTGCCGATTCAACCGTGCGTGGGTCCCGGTCTTGACCGTCTCGACGGCAGCGAAGAGCGAAAACGCGTCATCGCAGTGACCACAGGTCCATCCGAGCTTTTGCCCATCTGGAGATATTATTCGCTTTATGGGGCACGCGGAGGTCCCGAGTCATCCACATGTTGCCTGCCGGGCTAAGACTGCAACTTCAGTTCGCGCCTTGCTAGCAACAAGACTTCAACTGGTGATGACATGGGTTGACTAGGAAGTAGTGTAGGAGGGGGTTTATCGGAGTACGGCATTGACAGGTTTGAACGCTATCTCACTAGACTTCTATGATGAGATGTAAGTTCATTCAATGCAGATGACGAGTATAAGAAGTTCTCAGTTTCCATGTCCTCAACAGTCAGACTTCATCAAGTTCCAACTCACTCAGGAGCAGACTGTCCGATCACCAAGTCTTTCGTTTATTCGCATAGCAGCATCGTTTTTCCTGTTTCAAACGTCCCAAGATCATGATCACTCACGCTGCCTTCCTGCTTGGCCTACTTGGCGCTCTGCCAAAGGGATATGCTGTCCCTATGCCTCAGTGAGTTCACCCAAGCATGACTTTCAGTAACAATATCTGACATCTTCAGAATGGGAGATTACGGCGAGAACAGCGGTTCTGTTGGCGGCATCAACCCACCCACCCCGCCCGTGAACAGCCCTACGGGCAACCTCAGAGGCGACTCCAGTCTCCTCGGAGGCAATGCTCCTCTCCCCAACCCCGACCAGTTCGACTCCGCGATCGTCAAAGACGTCCAACTCGTCCCGGGCCAGGAAGCAGACGGCAAACTCGGCCTCTACCTCAACTTCGATGGCGTCGACGTCCCGCAGCCCATCCGCGGGGAGCTAGGCTCCCCTGATCCCGGCCCGAGTGCGTAGCATCCCCGGCGGGGTTTCGATCTGCACGACGGAAAGTCCACCAGAGACAAGCCGCTAACGCGATATTCCCGCAGGAACGTACGCTTACGAAAAGCTTAACCCCGACCTGTTCGCCCCGCCGGGCACCGACAAGGGCGACGTCAAGAACGCCATGTGGCCGCTGGGCCTCTCGCATAACCGGCTCGGAAGCCAGGCCGGGGCCGGCTGGGCGCGGCAGCAGAACACCGCTGTGCTTCCCATCGCGTCGGAGATGGCCGGTGTGGATATGAAGCTGCAGCCTAACGCTTACCGCGAGCTGCACTGGCACACGTCAGCTGAGTGGGCTCTTGTGCTCAAGGGATGCTGCCGGATTGCTGCGATGAATGAAGATGGGAAGAGCTTTATCGATGATGTTTGCGCCGGTATGTTTGATCTGAATCGCATCTACAATGGACCATTGCTGATCATGCGAAGGTGATGTTTGGTTCTTTCCGCCGGGTGTGCCGCACAGTATTCAGGCTTTTGACCAAGGTGTTGAGTTCCTCCTCGTTTTCGATGAGGGAGACTTCAGCGAGGAGAATACCTTCCTCGCGTCCGAGTTAATGTTGAGAAACCCTATTTCTGTTCTCTCAAAGAACTTGAAGGCAGATGTGTCGGAGTTCGCCAACATCCCCAAGGATCAGCTCTATGTAAGTGACCCACTTCCAGAAACAGACGCAGAAGCTGACAGATTCCAAGATCTTCAACGGTACCCCTCCTCCGAAGGATATTCAAGATCAGAACCAGACTTCCTCTGCCGGCGCTCTCACTGGGGCAGAGTCCTACACTTACCACTGGTCGCAGCAGAAGCCCTTCGAAGTCCCCGGCGGTTCCGTAAAGATTCTCGACCCTCTCACCTTCCCCATCGCCAGCAACTTCTCCGCTGCCCTCGTTGTGGTCCAGCCCGGCGCTATGCGAGAAATTCACTGGCACACCACTAGTGACGAGTGGAACTACTTCCTCCAGGGATCCGGCCGTGTCACCGTTTTCCAGGCGCCCGAGGCGTCTCGCACTTTCGACTTTACTGCCGGCGATGTCGGATACATCAAGGTTGGGGACAGCCATTACATTGAGAACACTGGCACCGAGGATGTCATCTTCCTCGAGGTTCTCCAAGCAACGCGCTTCACCGATATCAGTGTTGCCCAGTGGCTGGCTCTGACTCCAAAGCAGGTTGTCAAGGATACTCTTGGCTTTTCTGATGATCTGATTAACTCTTTGCCGAAGGAGAAGGAGTACATCAAAGTTGGACCTACCAACATGACGGCGTTGGCTGGTAGCGCAAAGAACTTCACGGCCTAGTGTGATTTCATGAGTTATGAGAGTTTGCATGGATGCCTCAAATGATTATGTGGCGAGGTCGGTTCTGTTCTGTTCATGACTTGGTCGTTACTCAGCTCATAGCGATACTTTTTAGAAATGACACGACTTATGATGAATTTGAACTATTTTTACTTCATGGCTCCAAGTCTTCAAAGCGATGCCGTGCACACGAGCCGTAACTGATTAGAAGAATGAACTCTGTCACTCTATATGATAGATTGTCCCGCATCCCTTACAATCATGCCAGTCTGACGAAATACCATGTCAGTTGACCCATGACGTCTCCTTCACTACGCATACTTGTTACAGGGTATGTCGTCTCCATGTAGCCCAGTCTAGTCAGAAGTCGCTGTTCACTTGTCGACTCTTTGAGAACGTCTTCCTCGTACATCGTGATCTCAGTTTCTCCCTTCATCTGCTTGAAGACCAGCCCGACGTCAATGTGCTCGTCAAGTTCACAACGAACCGCATCGTAATGATACCAGACCATGTAGAGCACACTGATTGCTTGTCCCACAGGGAACTCCTCGGCGCAATCAGGACGAAACTCATGCACCTCCTCGTCAGAGAACCGGCCGAGCTTATCCAGAGTAACGACGTACTTGATGTTTCCGTCGGACTCTCGAGTAGCTGTGACGACACCCTTTCTAAGGTCTCCCTTCATCTCGATGGTGTGATATCTTCGAGCCATCCAAGCAACGAACGGAAGCGGCTGGTCGAATGCGGTCCCCATGGCCATCTTGAACTCAGGTTTGACAAGGATGGCTGGTTCCATTGCCATCCGCCGATACATGTCGTTCGCAACTCTTCCGTTCCGAGTCGATGCCCATGACCATGTTGGCACAAGCCAGTTCTCATGTCATCCCCCCGATGGGCCCTTGGGATCGACGTACCACAACATTTCTGTTTCGACGAAATGCCAAAAGAGTCCGAAAGACGACCGAAGATGCGACCACCTCTGCGCCACTGTTGTTATCCCGTTGATAGCCAGGAACTTGTCGGAATCGTACGTCAAGGACAGGGTGGAGTAGTTGGAGAGGAACTCCCACCACGTCTTGAGGAAGGGGAAGTAGACTTCGCGCGGCCGATTGAGATCCGTAACAATGACCATGAAGTCGCCGAACGGATCGGATCCGTCCTCGTTTGGCCCGTCAGGGTAGATGCTGTAGGCCTTAGATTTCCTTTGGCCCTCGAGAAAGACCGATAGATTAGCGGCGTGCCCTGGTAATCCTCCCGAGTATGCTGGGTATCCATCACTATCGTAGGCTTCGTCATCGGGAGATTCAGGCTCCAAGCTTTGAGAATTTCTCGAGGCTGGTGTTTCTGTCGTTTCGGCGTCATCGTCCTTGTCGCCTGACATATCCACGGTGTCTTCGTCCTCCATTTCCTCGTTGTCTTCTTCCTCGGAATTCTGTTCCTCATCTTCATCTTCATCCGACTCTTCAACCTCAACGTCGTCATCCTCTTCATCCTCCCATTCCTCGGACCCCGACTCCGATTCAGGTATAGGAGGTGGCAGACGAAAGTCCCTGAAGAAAGCGAAAATATCCTTTGGATGGGTTGGAGTCTCCGTAGCAGCTCTCGCCGCGCGAACTTCTAGTTCCGGGTTCTCCAAAGAAGCGTCGCATTCACGACATTCCCATACCACGGAGCCTTCAGAGAAAATGAGAGATCGGGGAGATATCATCCGCTCCTGACAGACCCAAGCCCGAGTATCAAGAACTCCTGTGACTTTGAGCTTGGGGTCTCGCACATAAAGGCCAGCGTCACTATCGAGACCATCCGCAGCCGCAATCGTGCAGGCTGCCTTGTCGTAAATAATAGCCATACGTCTTGCTTCGGCCTTCCAGTCGTCTTTGTCATCCTGGACGATACAGAACGAGTCGATCCAGATATGAGAGAACCCGAGACCACGCGCGATATGAACCGCATCACGGAAAGTGGCCGGAAGCTTCGACGTCGGGATGCCGACATTGACCATATCGTCCAGGTTCGCCTTCGTGGTGCAGAACTTCTCGTCGGTGCCCCATCGATGACTGAGAGCAACATACTGCGTGTCCGCGCTGAGGGATTGGGAGGGTGCTAGTCGCACAACGTCTTCGCTCTTGTTCGATGGTTCGAGGGGAAATGAGAGCAAGCGTGTGGCCACCAGGCCTTCACCTTCGAGGTCAGATATCAAAAGAGAGTTGTCGGTGCAGAATACGGTGCTGTGCCTGGCTGTCTTGCCGCACGACGTGTGGGTAGCTGTACATTCTTTCAGCCAATTCGAAGCGGTTGGAATGGCCGTCGCAAAGAATTCATCAGCTAACACCTGTTGACTGCTCATGTTTGCGAATGTTGTCAGGAGATTCGGAGGTGAGTTTTGCGTGTCCTGCAAGGTCTATGTCTAGGCGACGCTGAATCAAAAGAAATATCTTAGTGATTACGATCTCGACCGGGTCTCGGCACCTTTGATACGTTATATAATGGTCTGCGAGGTCTCAAGGGAGTGTATGTTCCCACTCATACCAGGCTTTGGGCGGCAAGTCGGCTGTAACGCATGCGCATTGAAATTTGACGAAGAGGCGCATGCCCAGGCAGCAACATTCCCTTCAGCCAAAATCAAGCTTATTCTCAGCCATCACATGCTAAAGACACTTTGGCGTCCATGTCATCTTGAGTGCGCTAGGTGAGAAAATAGGGGCGTAAGATGGAGCTAAACTTTGCGGCTGAAAAGGGTGTAATGTGAGTCAAGGAGCAGGCGTTGACCAGTATCCTAGTGAACTGAAACATCACATTTGAACAGACGCTGGATGGATCGTGAGTTGTGGTCTTAAAAGGATTAGTACCAAAAGTCTTTTTCAACGTAGGCGAAAGCAACAAATCACCTCTGGCTGCCAATGAGAAGTTTAATTGACCTTAAGTCTAATAACCGAAAGTTCTTAGTAGCCCAATCAGTTCTTTTCTCATCTCACATATACCTCATCTGATAAGATGAGTGCGAGTAACAAGAGGACTGCCATTCCGGCACAGCAGCTTGTATACCACGTAAGTCGAGGCTACGATGCGCTGCTTTAACAGCTCGTCCTCAATTAAGCTGGCTGCGCATGAAGGCCTCCACAGCGGTGAGGCCCTCGTCCGCCCCCGTCCCCTTAACTTCCCTCGAGAAGGTGATGTACGCATGCGCCGCTCCAGGAACCACCTTCACGGTTGCTTCTCCGCCCGCCATCATATATTTCGCGCTCATGAGGATGGTGTCGTCCATGAGGCAATCCTCCGTTCCCACGGTGAAAATTGCCGGCGGGAGCTTTCCGCGGAGAGGCTCAAGATCCGCGTACAGGGGGCTGACGGAGGGGTGTTTCTTCTCTTCTTCAGACATGCCGGGCAGGAAAGCCTTGACGTACTCGTCCATCAGCTGTCGATCCAGGATGAGCGTCTTCGGCTTTTTGAAGTGGTGCATCGACGGCAGCCAACTCAGCGAATAGCAACCAAAGTTGAGGATCATCCCCTTGAATCTGAAGCCGGCGTACTTGGCTTCGGGCGACTGGAGCAGATGCAGCATGACTAGGAAACCTAGGTGCGCCCCGGCCGACTCTCCCCCGCAGAATCCCAGAGGGACTTCCAGTGTGGACTCGGCGTTATCGACGAGCCATTGTGCTGCATCGTAGCAATCGTTCGGTCCCGCGGGAAACGGGTCTTCGGGCGCATGCCTATAGCCAACCGAGAATGCCAGAGTGTTCGTCCTGTTGGCGATATCTTGGAGCATCATGTCTTGGGTCTTCTGGTCGCCCAAGACCCAGCCGCCGCTGTGAAAATGAAGGTACACAGCTCTGGCCGGGCCATTTTGCGGTCTCAGTAGTCTGCAGGGAATCGCTCTCCCGGCATCCCTCGAAGGGATGTCGAAATCTTCCGCCGAGTCTAAGTATCGAGGTTTGGGGAGTGGTGTTTGTCCATCTATGCGCATTTGACGGTGTTTCGGCGCACCAACCTACACTTGAGTCGTCAGAAAAGAAAATGGACCGGCGAGGGAAGTTGAAAGCGACGGGATCCTCACCTCGTACCACTTAGGGCCCTTGGACATGAGGTCCATCAAGTAGTTGTTGAACTCATGTGCTTCGTCCGGTATCGCCGCCGAACCAAACTTGGTGGCATTGATTTTGAGGGCGCTGTCGAGTTCCATGTTAAGGTACGCTGGTGATGTACAAGCGGGCGAAAGCGATCTGACAGAGATGTTGGCGCGGCAGCTCGTGGGCTATGAACTCTGAACCTACCTATATATCGACCGGCAGGGTTCATAGAGAACAAGTATGAAGGTTAAGGCTGCCTGTAGTGTAGGGTTCTATCTACAGACAGATAGTGATCGATTAATATATACTGTGTGGGTTATTTTTTAATATACTAGTATAATATATTAAGTCTATTTGAGCTTTACTTATATGTATAGAAAGTTTACTATAGTATTAAGCTCAAAAGATAAAAGCTATAGAACTTTATAGCTTATCTAGAAGCAGCTTAACCCTAAGTAAGTAGAATTGTTTTTCTGACTCGCGTCTGGCTTATTGCGCATAGGTCGCCCTGAGTTGCCTCTGGTTATACTGCGGGGTTCGTCCCGCAAGAGGGCACCGTCCTGGATCCTGTGCGTACGGCATCGTCATGAGCTTCCTCTAGATAGGCGTCGTCGTGGGTTGCCAAAAGAACAACGAAGCACACTTGATACAACTTAGCTTCCCCACGCAATGAGGGGTAGTGATGAGGGGTGCAGAGAGTATCTCTGTCCATCATGAGACTTCTTTATCTGCGGACCAGGGTCTAGGTAGGTAGCTTCTTCCGCAATCACGGCGGCCTTTATGGCTTAGTAATTATTTGGATGTTGTTTTAATCCTGTAATCGTCAACAAATGGAAAGAGCATCCTCATTATTTATTGACTTGGTGTCGTTTTGCTGCATCCAAGCTCAAGTTTTCGACAATTCTGCTCGTTATTCTCGCACGAGAATTATAGCTGTGCGATCCTCGACATACCTCGTGCAATTTCCATCATAACTCCCTACAAGATGGCGCAAGGACCTGAGGCCGACCTGACATTCTCGAAATACGAAGAAGAGCGACAGAAGCGTATCCGCGATGATGGCCTTGCCCAGTACGTCAAGTTGACCGAGGGCGACGATCATCTGCACCTGGCCGATGACCCGTTCGGCGGAGAGTTTGGCGACCGACAATGGTCCATTCCGTTCGGCGTCTCCACTGGCAAAACCAAGGTCGTCATCATCGGTGCCGGCTATGGTGGTCTCACTTACGCCGTCCGGCTCATCCAAGGGGCCGGCTTCACTCCCGAAGACATCGTCTTCTTGGACACGGCCTCCGGATTCGGAGGCGCCTGGTACTGGAACCGGTATCCTGGGTTGATGTGCGACGTAGAGAGCGCCTGCTATATGCCTCTTCTGGAAGAGACGGGATACATCCCTAAAAACAAGTATTCATATGGCTCGGAGCTGAGGGGCTACGCCGAGCTGCTCGCATCGACCTTCAAGTTGACCGACAGAGGCCTGTGGAAGGTGACGGTGAAATCCGCCTCCTGGGACGACGCCAAGGCCTCGTGGACCGTGGACATGCTCAAGACGACCAAGGACGGCCAGAAGCAGTCCATCACCCTCGAGACCGAGTACCTGGTCATGACCGCCGGCCCTCTGACCAACCCGAAACTGCCTCGCATCCCAGGCGCACAAGAGTTTGGGGGGACGACATTCCACACGGCGCGGTGGGACTACAATACGACCGGCGGAACTGCGGAAGACCCGACCTTGAGCAAGCTTCACGACAAGAGAGTAGCCTTCATCGGCACGGGGGCGACCTGCATCCAGGCTGCACCGCACCTGGGCAAATGGGCCAAGGAGCTTTACATCTACCAGCGCACTCCCTCGGCCGTCGCCGTGCGTGGCCAGCAGGACGTGGACCCCGATCGCTTCCGTGCCGAGGTCAGCAGCAAGAAGGGCTGGCAGAAGCGGCGTCGTGAGAACATGGCGATGTTCGTCGAGGGCAACACGCCAGACGAGAACCTCGTCCAAGACGGCTGGACCACTTTCCCGTCCTACGCGGCTCTCGTCGGCGGCCCTGCTGCAGACGGGCTCACGGACGAGACTCTCCCCCAGTACATCGACAAGTTCCACAAGCTCGATTACCCCCGGCAGGAGGGAATTCGCGCCCGCGTGAAGCAGACGGTCAAGAACACAGAGGTGGCCGCATCGCTGACGCCGTGGTACCCGGGCTGGTGCAAGCGGCCGTGTTTCCACGACCAGTACCTCGACACCTTCAACCGAACCAACGTGACTCTGGTGGACACGCGTGGCCGAGGCGTGGAGGCCATCACCAAGACGGGCGTCGTGTTCGACGGCAAGGAATACCCCGCGGACATCCTGATATACGGAACGGGTTTCGAGCCGTTGACTGCCGGAGGACCTTCTCTCCGCGCGGGCATGGAAATCTACGGCCGGAACGGCATCGAGATGGAGACGAAGTGGAGCAACGGGCTCGCCACGCTTTACGGACTCGTCACCCACGATTTTCCCAATCTCTTCCTGTCCGGTGTCTACCAGATGGGTTCGACAGTCAACTACGCGCACATGGTTGACGTGATGGCGACTTCCATGGCCAGGGTGATCAGCCGGGCGCGGGAGAAGCACGCGTCCGGACAAGACGGAGGGTCGTACAGGATGGTTATTGAGCCGAGCCCGGCGGGCGAAGAGGCGTGGGCGCAAAGGGTGCTCTCAACCGCGCGCGGTTTCGGCGCCATGGCGGGCTGCACCCCCAGCTACGGCAACGGCGAGGGCAGAAAGGCCAAGTCCAAGGAGGAGGAGCTGAATGTGGCGCGCAGCGGAAACTGGGGCAAGGGTTGCCTTGACTATGCCGCTATAGTCGAGAAATGGGCCTCGACGGAAGACTTGGAGGGGTTGGAGTTTCGTGTCGTTTCAGCTTAGAGAAACTAGAGGTCTTTGAAAGAGTACGCAATAATCGTTTGTCTGGTAGTCCAGGACGAGGTGTACGACGTACAAGTGCAGTGTGAATGTGACGCGCTTGTTGGTGATTGCTATTTTCCGCGTCTGTACTGAAGTACGCATAACCGAGAAGTGAGATCACCGAGGTATCCCTTTGAACCCGAAAGTGTGACGTCTTCCCCACATTAGCAATAGGCAAGGGAAGTTAGTCTACCAGGAGAACATTGATACTCATATCTCCATAGATAGTTCGTCATAAAGGAGCCGGGACATGTCATCTGCTGATAACAGGAAATCAGGCGGATTTAGGGTCTCTAGCCGCTGCTTTAGGTACAGTCACTATAATATAAGCGCACTTCTCACAGACTATTATTCACCTAAGGGGTAGGGGTAGGGGGGGGGGGTAGATAAGGTAACTTACCTTTTTTAGTAGTAGGGAAGGCGCTAAAGTAAGGTATCTTATTATATTAAGTTAGTAAAAAAAGTTTTAATAATAGGGTAGAAGTTATTTATTGATTTTTCTAATTAGCTAGATTCTATTAATAGGGTATAATTATTACCTATAAATTTTAAAACCTATTTAATAATTAATTTACTTTTTAATTCTTTCTCTTCTTTTTTTTTTTCTTTAGGAGCTATTTATACTATATTTATATAGTATTTAATAGCCTTTTAGAAGTATTTATAGACTTATTTAAAATTACTTTTTATGCTTATAGTAATAATTAAAATAATTAATTAATATATATATTTCTAAATTATTTCTAAATTACTTTATAAGTAGTTTAAAATTAATTTAAAAATAGCTTATATATAAAAAGTACTTTAAGGGCCTCTTTAACTATATTAATAAGGCTATTCTTAATAAATAAAACTAAATATAAAGACCTCTATAGCTTTTTACCTTTAAAAAGAACTAAGTATTTTAAAATTAATCTTTAAGTACTTTAAAACTAATTCTAAATTAATTTAAAATAAAAAGATAAAATAATTCTTACTTTAAGTAAAGTTTTTTATTACTTCTCTATAAAAAATAATAATAAGATTTCTTATAGAACTATAAGTTCTCTAGAGGTAATTTAGAACTACTTTAAAAATACTTTAAAACTAATTTTAAATAGAACTATTACTTTATATTTCTCTCTAATTTATATATCTATATATATAAGTATAAAGATTAAGCTAATACTTTTATCTCTATTAAAAATAAAAAGATAGAAATAGCTAATATTAATAAGTTAGATATAATAAGAAGTAAGTATTTTTAAACTAATTTATAACTATTTTAAAACTAATTATAAAAGACTCTTATAATAATTTATTTAATCTCTATAATATTAATTTTAATAATACCTCTTTTATTATTATTATACTTTTTAAAAAGTACTCTATTTTTAAAATATTAGCTCTATTTAATATATTTAAAAAAACGTCTAAAGATATAAGTTTTAAATTATTTCCTAATTATTTTAAAAATACTTTTTAATTAGTTTTAAATTAAGTTATAACTATTAATATCTTAAATATATATTTCCTAATTAATATTAATGAGACTAAAGCTAATAGATATCCTTATTATACTAATTAGAGCTAAAGCTATAAGTTTATTTCTTAATTACTTTTAGAGTAATTTAAAACTAATTTAAAACTAAGCTCTCTTAAGGATTATAATAATAATTATATTATTTAGAAATAATTTTAAATTAATCTTAAAGTTATTAAGGTAGAGTCTAAATATAAAGAGGAGCCTAAAAAGCTTTAAGAGCTTAAGGAAATTAAGAACCTAAAGGGAGCTAAAAGTATTAATAGAGGAGGAGAAGAGACTACTTAAAGTAGTTTTAAAGTAATTTAAAAGTATTTTAAAACTAATTTATAACCTATTTATAATAATAGACTTTTTAGAGTTAACTAAAAGATATTTTAGCTTAACTTTCTATATAGTTAATATAAAACCTATTTAGAATTAATTTTAAATTAATTTTAAGGCTAAAAGGCTTTACTTAATAAAAAAAGAGGAATTCTGCTTATATTATATTTTAAATTAATTTAAAAGTAATTTATCTTAAAATAAAAAGTAAATCTCTTTA